ACGATAAGGACTGTTTTGCACTCGTTTATGTGCGCATATTAATCATGTTTATAGATCGGTTACAAACCCAAAACTAATTTACATAATGGAAATCTAGGCGATAGCAATACATCGGATTGACCTCAAGGTCATCGCGATGTAAAAACCACAAAAATGAAAACAATATAAATATAAACTGACCAAGCCTTTATACATATATATTGGATATTAATATAGTATTAATGTATGGACTTTTTCATATTGGCCCTGTAACATGCCCGAGGTATTAATAATGGCCAAGGATGGTTGTAATGGCCCTGAGGCAGCGCCGAGGGCCATTACAACTTTCCGAGGCCATTATTAATACCAAGGGCATGTTACAGGGCCAATATGAAAAAGTCCATATATTGATACTTTTATTAACCAACTAAGGCAACTTCATTCAAGAACAGTCTTCGAGTCTCGGATCCAAATACAGCTAACCACAAATCTATAACAGGACCAATACAAAAAAAAAGCCAGTTCATAACACTTTTATTACCGTAAATGGTTTTAATTCTTCGATTAAACAAAGAGTAAGAATCTTACCGTGAAGAAGATACAGGAATTCATAGACATAGCTGAACTTGTCTTATTGCATTCACGATGGATTTTTGTTCAACATTGTCAGATGTAATTTCTGATTTCTCATCCAAGTACTTTATTTTATGCTATTACAATTCATTTCATCTAGCAAATATAAAGTAGCTGGGAAGAATAAATCAGACAGTTTAACTATTCTTACTCTGAGTAGTCTGCGTTCTGATAATTGATCAACGGAAATGAAACAGTGATAATAATCGAAAGTCGTACTCGAAAAAGTGGAGGAAAGATACAGAACAACAACAACAAAGGCTGTGTAATATTTCCGTTTCAAGTCGTTACAAAACACTGAACATCATTTAAACTTTTTTCATTATGATATTAAGTTAAAAAAAAATTGAAAAAAGTTGTCACTTATTTGAAGAAATAAACGACATTTTGATTTAATCGATTTCCCGTTTCATCTGTTCATAATGCATGGCTGTGATTTCGTAATGCACGGGTGTGATTTCGTAATGCATGACTGAGATTTCGTAATGCATGGCTGTAGCAATTTCTCCGTTCATAATGACCAGTTGTCGAAATTTTCCTTTTATAAAGCAGGGGCATTTCTCTACATATTGTAGTAAGTTGGTTAATAATACTCTATTAAGAACAAATTATACCCTTTAGAGGGTCAAAGGTATAATTATAATTACAATTACATGCAACAACAATATAAATTCATGACATTTACATAAAAATAAGACAAAATAAAATATTGAACACACAACACAACAAATGACCTCAAGTGCCCCCTGTCCTCAGTTCCTTAGACTATTTAAAAAAGGAGCCTAAAGATTTCACTTGCTGGCTAGTAGTTGGATTTAGAATATATTTGATTTTATTATCAGAAAAATCTTTGTATTGGATTTTTAAATCGTTAAAAAAGACATGTCTTAATTCATTATTTATTTTACATAATAAAAAGAATTGATTGATTGATTGGTGTTTAACACCACTTTCAACACTGTTGTGCTATTTCGTGGCAGTCAGTTTTTATTGGTGCAGGAAGCCGGAGTTCCCAGAGAGAACTGGGAAATATGATTCATCATCTAGAGCTTTGCACTTATTACAAAGTCTTTGAGGGCATGGAATATTTTTATATCTTCCCATTTCAATAGCGAGGAAATGGTTACTCATTCTTAATTTGCATATAAGTTTTCTTTTATCAAGATTAGGATATATATGTCAAATAAAAGGCTTGTTTATATTCATTTTTATACGACCGCAAAAATTAAAAATTTTTTGGTCGTATATTGGTATGACGTTGGCGTCGTGGTCGTCGTCGTCCGAAGACACATTGGTTTTCGCACTCTAACTTTAGTTTAAGTGAATGGATCTCCATGAAATTTTACCATAAGGTTCAATACCACGAAAAGAAGGTGGGGATTGATTTTGGGGGTTATGGTACCAACAGTTAAGGAATTAGGGGCCAAAAATAAGCATTTTTGTAACTTCCAGACAATAACTTGTGTGTAAGTGTATGGATCTCTCTGACATTGTACCACAAGGTTCCATATCACAAAGGAAAGGCTGTAATTGATTTTGGGGGTAATTGCCTCCAAATTTTAGGAATTAGGGGCCAAAAAAGGGGCAAAAAACAAGCATTTTTCTAGTTTCATGACAATAACTTGTGTGTAAGTGTTTGGATATTTCTGAAATTGTACTACAAGGTTCCATATCACAAAGGGAAAGCTGGAATTGAGTTTGGGGGTAATTGTCCGAAACGTTTAGGAATTGGGGGCCAAAAAGGGGCCAAAAATAAGCATTTTTCTAGTTTCCAGACAATAACTTGTGTTCAAGTGTATGGATCTCTCTGAAATTGTACTGCAAGGTACCATACCACAAAGGGAAGGCTGGGATTGAGTTTGGGGGTGATGAATCATAAGGGGGTTCAAAAAATTGGGGGGGGGGGGATTTTTTTTTCCTTTTTTTTTCTTTTTTTCCTTTTTTTTTTCTTTTAAAATTTTCCATTTTAAGTTGGTTATTTCTGATTAATATTTAAAAGCAAATAATAATGATATGGTAGGAGATACACACCAAACAGGATGTGTAAATTATTATATAATAAGTATTGTGCAATAGCAAGAAATTTTCAATTGCACAGTATTGCACAATAGCAAGAAATCTTCAATTGCACAGTATTGCGCAATAGCAAGAAATCTTCAATTGCACAGTATTGCGCAATAGCAAGAAATATCCAATAGCACAATATTGCGCAATAGCAAGAAATTGTCAATTGTACAGTATTGCGCAATAGCAAGAAATATTCAATTGCACAGTATTGTGCAAAAGAAGATACTTCGTATAAATTGCTTATTTCTTGATCAATTTCAATGGGGTTTTATTCTTGAATTCTTGGGGTTCTTTAATATGCTGAATCTAACCGTGCATTAAGTTTTTGGATTTTGGGCCCCGTTTTTAAATTGGTCCACATTGAGGTCCAAAGGGTCCAAAATTTAACTTTGTTTGATTTCATCAAAAATTGAATTATTGGGGTTCTTTGATATGCCGAATCTAACCGTGTATTTAGATTCTTAATTTTTGGTTCCGTTTTCAAATTGGTCTACATTAAGGTCCAAAGGGTCCAAAATTAAACTTAGTTTGATTTTAACAAAAATTGAATTTTTAGGGTTCTTTGATATGCTGAATCTAAACATGTATTTAGATTTTTGATTATGGGCCCAGTTTTCAAGTTGGTCCTAATCGGGGTCCAAAATTAAACTTTGTTTGATTTCAACAAAAATTGAATATATGGGGTTCTTTGATATGCTGAATTTAACCATGTATTTAGATTTTTGATTTTTGGGCCCTGTTATCAACTTTGTCCACATTGAGGTCAAAAGGGTCCAAAATTAAACTTTGTTTGATTTCATCAAAAATTGAATTCTTGGGGTTCTTTGATATGCTGAATCTAACCATGTATTTAGATTTTGGATATTGGACCATAATAGGTGAATGTCCAATTTAAAATTTTTAAGTTCTTAGACCACATTCATTCTGTGTCAGAAACCTATGCTGTGTCAAATATTTAATCACAATCCAAATTCAGAGCTGTATCAAGCTTGAATGTTGTGTCCATACTTGCCCCAACTGTTCAGGGTTCGACCTCTGCGGTCGTATCAAGCTGCGCCCTGCGGAGCATTTTATTATATGTTAAAACAAATGGAGTTTACTATTTTGATCAAGATATGATATCTTATTGTCTTATATTTCTTTATATCTTTGCTCAAGTTCATTTTTATAGTATTTTTTACTAAGATTCTTACAGGCTCTGTTTTTGTCTCGCCTACGAGAAAGCGAGACATAGGGATTTTTTTTCTGGAGATGACGATATCTCTGGCTCCAGCTCAGAGCCTCAAGCGACAACAATTGTTAAGTTTTCTGCTGAAGTTGGTTTGATAGGAACTACTTGTGATAGATCAATGATATTTTTTATAAAGTTGCATTATTATCAGTACATATCAGTTTGACGACTATTTTGAGGCCCTGCCCCCTAAGTCATGGTCCAGTGACTTTGAATTAATAAGCAATTTTCAATGTTAAGTTTTCTGCTTAAGTTAGTTTGATAGGATCTACTTGTGATAGATCAATGATATTTTGTATGAAGTTGCATTACTATCAGTACATATCAGTTTGTCAACTATTTTCAGGCCCTGCCTACTAGATCATGGTCCAGTGACTGAATTAATAAGCAATGTTGCTGTCCATCAGATTGTCTTTTTCTGAATTTTGTGCCAACAGGCAAAACATATCTCTGTCAACAGTTTATTATCATACATTTCTTATCAATTTTCCAGAAGACAAAATTATTCCATATTCAAATAACTCCTTGTTTTTAGGTTCTAGATTTGGTCTGTTTTGAATTAGCATGCAGAAACTATAATTGTAGGGTGCATTTTCAATGACCAATAATGTACTGGTATTTTTGACTGTATTCATTGACACTCCAAAACATTCACTTTTAGCAGGAAATGATCATGCAACTATAATATGTCAATGAAACTTTCAAATACAAGTTAAATTAAAATATTTGGAAAAGAGAATTGCTGTGTGGATGAAGTATAGTCTGACTGACATATGCCATTAAGTCTTTTAGCCTTTTATTTTACTTCATTATCAATTTTCCAATGGTAAGTTTTAAGTTTCTGTGTGATGTCTGTATTTCTAAGCTATTAGTGGTAGGTTCATAATATTTTGTACAGGAGTTAAATTTAAAAAGAACATGTCACATGCGAATCTCACAGGCTTCACTTGACCTTGACCTCAGTTTAAGAGTTCATATATGTACATTGGGTAACTCAAAGATTGCAGTGGGCAACTTAATTTGCAAGACATTTATTAGTGTATCAACTCTTGTTTATAACCTATATTGAAGATTATGTTTTGTTTTTCAGGTAACAGACTGATGTAAAATGAGGGCAAGAGGGAAGCAGACGGTATCAAGTATTTTCTTCATTGTGGTGTTAGTGGTTGTTTTCTATACATTTTACTTTGATAAACCAACATTTCTAAAATCCTCGACCGACAATTCTAAAGGAAAAACACAAACTTCATCTGAAAATGGATTTTTAACTGCTGAAAACACTGTGGGAAAAGTAATCACACGAAATGAAAAAGGATGGACAGTTGACAATAAAATATGTCATCAAAATTACGATTTTGTACTTGCACATTTAAAGGACCCTCCTCACACACCTATTTTTGTATATACTACTGAGGAAGATAAATGGGTGTCTGGAAGTATAATAGCTCATGGCTCTTGGGAAGGAGGTCATGTTGGTACAATTCATAATTACATGAGAAAGTTTCCACAAGCAGTGTTCCTTGATATTGGTGCTAATATTGGAATGTTTTCAGTCTCTATTGCTGCCTATGGATATAGAGTAATAGCAATAGATTGCCTAGAAGGAAATGTAATGCGTCTTTGTGCTTCAATGAAGGCTGCAAAATTGACCAACAAGATGACAGTCGTGTATAATGCATTATCTCACACACATGAAAAGGTTTCATTAGGCAAGTACCATGGCAATGTAGGAGGAACTTATATTAAGCAGGGGAAACATAGTCATCAGACAGGAACTGAATCGGTTAATTCAATTTTCCTTGATGATCTCTTAGAAATTTATTCTTTTGATCAAGTTGTCATTAAAATGGATGTAGAAACTTTTGAAGCTAATGTTTTGAAGGGAGGCTACAAATTTTTTGAACAAGTAAAAGTAGAAGCATTATTAATAGAATTTGTTGCACATAGAGAAAAAGAAAGTGGTAAATTCATTGCTGATTTCTTACTATCTCATGGCTTGGAGCCAAATGTAGCAGATAGCATTAAAAATGATTATAAAAAATGGGGCAATGAAGTTTTATTTTTACGTAAAAAAAAACTTATTGTGACTGTTACTAAACCTCTTCCAACAGCTATTTCCGAAAATAAAAATAAAATTACAATCACTTCGAAAAATGAAGCTTTAGGAAAAGTCATATCATACTCAGGAAACCAATGGACGTCAGATGAAAATTTTTGTCCTACTGATACAAGTAAATTTGTTGCCACCAAATTAGGACGCCCATATAATGTACCCATGTTTGTTTATACTATGAAGGAAGATCAGTGGGTTTCTGGGAGAATAATTCAAGGTGGAATTTGGGAAGAGGATCTTGTCAATAAAGTTTTAGTACAAATGAACAACTTTCCAAATGCTGTCTTCATAGATATAGGATCCAACATAGGAGTATTTTCATTGGCAGTAGCAAGTAAAGGGAGAAATGTCATCAGCATAGATTGTTTAAAAGGAAACGTTGAAAGGTTTTGTAATTCAATTAAATCTGCTGGTTTTGATAAGCATATGACAATCGTTTATAATGCCCTTTCCAATGAAAGGAAGAATTTTTCTCTAGGAACGTACGAAGGCAATGTAGGAGGAACCTATATAAAGGAACCAGCCAGTGGAGATAGCCTTATTAGCAGCATTTTACTCGATGACTTAGTAACATTTTTTGAACTACAAGAGGTAGTTGTTAAGATGGACGTTGAAACACATGAAGCAAATGTTTTACATGGTGCTAAAAAGTTTTTTGACTCTGTAAAAGTACATTATTTTTTGTTAGAATTCGTGGCTCACAAGGGAAAACATAGTGGGAGTTTTATCAGTAATTTTTTTGACTCCTATGGAATGGAACCAATACTACCGTCCACATCACAGTATGCAGACACATCCACATGGCCAAATGAAGTGGCTTGGAGGAGGAAAAAAGAAGACAGTACCAGGAATAAGGAACATTCAACAGTCAGAGACATTGAAAAACGAAACATTCCACAAACTCAAAATAGATTTTCACATTCCAATCAAATTACATCTGACCAAGAAACATTAGGGAAAGTGATATCACGATCATCATATGTGCAACAATGGAATGAAGCTAATATTTCTTGCCAAGCAAAATCTAATTTTGTGCGAGCAAGTTTGAACCGTGATCCCAACACACCAATATATGTATACACTCCAGAAGAAGATAAATGGGTTTCTGGTAGTATTATTAGGAATGGCAATTGGGAAGGTGACCTTGTTCAGAAAATTGCATTTATTTTCAACGAATTTCCCGATGCAACATTTCTTGATATTGGAGCAAATGTAGGAATGTTTTCGCTGTCATTAGCAAAACGTGGTAAAAGAGTGATTGCATTTGATTGTTTGAAAGGCAATGTTGAAAGGTTGTGTGCATCAATGAAAGCTAATGCTGGTTTTGAAAACCGAATGACAATTGTTTATAATGCATTATCAAACCAACGAGAAAAAGTAACATTAGGTACTTATAATGGCAATATAGGTGGTACTTTTGTTAAAAAGATACAATCCAATACAGGAAACGTAGGTAATACAGTTGATTCCATTTTATTAGATGATATATTAGACATATTTAAATTTGATAATAAGGTCATTATAAAAATGGATGTTGAGACATTTGAAGCTAAAATATTAGAAGGAGCTGAGAAATTTTTCAGTACTGTTGAAGTTGAAGCTTTATTGTTAGAATTCGTATCTCACAGAGGAAATAAATCTGGTACCTACATTTTACAGTTTCTAGAAAAGCACAACCTTTTCCCTGTATTAGGCCCTGGAATGGATAGATATGACACTAATACATGGAAAAAGGGTGAGGTCATGTTCAGAAGAAAAAGCAGTTAGACGGAAAACCCCAGTTTTATTAGTATTTTATACTCACTACAAGCAAGAGAAGTAGTCTAGTCTTTTATACACAGAGTATTTTATTGAAAAAAAGATTTTTTAATCTTAGGGTTGGATAAATATGAAATTTAACTGACAATATAAAATAACAAACATTGTGATATATGGTGATCTAGTACAAAATGTAGTACTTTCATCAATACGTTTGTATATGATTTGTTTTAATCCAGATATAATTGAATCTTTAAGCTTGTCATACATTGTAGTTATTAGATATTTTGCTGAAAGTGGATGCAATCTTAAGAAATTGTTAATCCCATGCACCAAAGTAGCAAAAGTGATATGGTAACACATTGTACAATAGTTACGCAAGAGAAAAGAATGATGTTTTCCCAATCATTATAATGAAAATAAGAATATTTGGTTTAAAGGACAAGTAATTTTGTTGAAATACTTGATTTGGTATGAAATTGTGCCAAAGATTCTTCAGAGATTTTAGAAATGATTACAGCTTTACAAGTTTTGGGTAAAACAATATTTACAAAATCAGTCTTCTTTATGTGGGTTGAAGAGCTTAGTTTACAAACAGCATTAATTACGTAACCTGTTCACTTCGTCAGATTTGTGCATAGATAATCAGTATTAAATGTTGTCTTTTTTTATTTTTGTAATTTTTACAGAATTACAGTCTGTTAAGCATTCAATGTTTATGAAATTCCACAAACATTATATATAGCTCATAATTTGTTCACTCAGCAGCAGTTTTCACACTAAAATCTGTTTGAACATTCATCAAATGTGTGATTATATTTTCTCAATTTTGTCAGGTTTTTTGAAAGTGATATTTTTGCTTATAAAGTACATACTATTATTATTGATAGAGAGTATTCAGGATATATGATAAATTTCACCTTTTATATCTGAATGAAACCCATTTTATCTATTGTATTAAATTTATCAATGTTTATAATTAATATGAATGGCAAGTCTTATTTTAGTTTTTTCCAAACATTGCAAAATATGTTCATATTATGCAATTCTCCATAAATCACTTACCCATTGTAAAACTCACGAAAGCTTGATAAACACAGCAGATACACATGTAACACTTGTAAATTACAAGTATGATTCATAATTCTGAATGAGAGGGGTAAACTCCAGATTCATTTTATATTTATGAAGATCTAACTGGCATTTAGCATGTTTATATAACTATATGAGCCAGTCCAAGGGAAAAGGTACATGAAGTGTTTTTGATAAACTTCACAGGACACGTTGTTAAAGTTAGTTAAAATAATTTTTGAAAAACGATTTTATCCATAAAAATTGGTATACATGTAAACATTCATAAAATTGTAAATTCTGTCCCAAATTTTCAGTTAAAACAGAAAAAGATGTAGAAATATCTGAATTATTGTACTTAGGCAAGAATAAAATCATTTGTTACCTGGAACAATGCTAAACTGAGCCGAAATTAACGAGATAACCTAAAACATTATTCTTTTGAATAAAGAAGACTTTTTGAAAGAAAAATTGATTAACTCCCATGGAAACTTCCAAAAAATGTATTGTAATTTCACATATATTTTACTGAATATAAGATATTTCAATTCAAATGATGTCTGATTCTTATGAATATAGAAGACTTTTTGAAAGACAAATTGTATGAAAGCTTAGTTTGGACATTTTTATAGCAATTCAAAATTACTATCTACTAGTATCACCTTTAGCATGACAATAACAATAAAATTTCTATACAAACGGTTAAATTAATTTTTCATAAAAACATTGAAGTGGAATAAAAGTCTTATAGGATTGTAAGTATGCTTTATTTCATCACCTTGCACTTTCACGACTTGATTGTGGCTTTCTTCAGCAGTTTGTTCAAATTTCTGACCAGTTGAACAGTTTGGTTTTATAAAACACATTGCAATTTGGTCAGAATTTTGAATAAGTTGCAATAGGTGGAGAGCAACACTTACAGTCAAGTCATCGTAAATTTGTATTACATTAAAGGAGCTTTTTTTCTTATTCCAAACAGTACCTATTGTAAAAATATTTGAATAAGCTCTTGCCTTTTTGTGCTGAGGCTGTGTAAAGTAAACACCAATTAGTCAATCAATCAGTCTTTGTATACAGTTAGCATAATTATTATTTGCTGCAAGTCATTTTGAAGTGCCATAAGCCAGTTTGTGTAAATTTTTTACAAAACATACATTTTTTTATGTTCTTGCCTAACTTATGCCATATATGACATTCAGTCATGTCAATTTGCTAGTCATGTTATGTCACATTAATGAAACGGTGTAAAATCAACTTGCCATTCTGCATTCACCAAATAAGCCTCTTTGATCCTTTACCTTGTGATGTTATAAAACTCAACACCAATCCAAATCTGTGGTAAAATACAAAAACGAAATTGGGTATTTGATGCTTCTCTGCCAAGCATGCAGCATTTAAGAGTACGAGTCTTGTCAGAATAATGTGAAAGGGTAGGGTATTGTCTTGCAGACTGTTACCTTGTCAAATAGCACATCCAAAATGTGGCTTAGCATGTCAGTCTAGTACAATGCAGGGTTCATATTCTTATCACATTGATATGCTCCCATCCTAAATTGCATTTAATTTGCCACGGAAAGTTAAACAGCCAACCATCAACATCTTCATCTATTCATTTTTTTGTTTGAATTTAAAAAAAAAATTGAAATCCCATAGATAAATTTTATCTAGTTAGATGTCCCCCATAAATAGATTTTATCTAGTGAAATGTTTCTTGCATTAATTTCATATTACACAATCCACTTTAAATAGAAGCTAATGTGATATTTTTAGAAAGTGATTCACTTTGTATAAAGTTAAAATATCTTAATGTTCTTTGATGTTGCTACTTAATAGTAGTTTTTAACCGGATTTTCAAAAGAAAAATTGGTTATTGCTTTGGGGATGTACGGCGAGTGGGTGGGCGGGCGGATGGGCGGGTGGCTGCCAAACAGTGTCCGTTCATTACCATGAAAACGCTTTGACAAAATTTATTCAAATTAAGATATGTTGTTTCCTGTGACTAAATGAAGGTCAAGTTCAATTTTCACGGTTTTAGCTTTTCTCGTTGTTGAGTTATAGCCCTTTCCCAAGAGTTTAATTTTTTATGAAATTCTTATTAATTACTCCATTTTGTTCAAAGGGAAATAACTCATTTTTTAAAAGACATTGTATGAATGATAAATGACATTTTGGATTGTTCCTTTTCTTTGGTAAATTGTTTGAAGAATTTTGTGGTAGGTTTGTTTGTTATTCTGTATAAACTAATTTTCTGAATGTTAAATATGTATTTTTTTTTTGATGAAGTGAACTCCTTTAATTAGATAATAATCTATTTTTATTAAATGATATATTTCATTACATTACATTGTGTAGATAAAGTTGTTGACATTGATAGATAAGTTGCAAATCTATATTAGTTTGTGACAAATGAAAGAAAAAATATTTGGAACTATTAATTATATTTGATTATAATTTGAAAATAGATATACATTGTTTAACATCATATCTAATTTAAGAAAATAGTGGTTAAATCATATCTGATTTTAGAGAACTATGTGTTTATAATTTATTCAGTTTGAGTTATTTCCCTTTGAACAGAAAATAATATGGATTAAATTAAACTGTGTTTCATTTCAACATAAATTAAATATATATAGGGTTCTTTCAAATGCTGAATCTAAACCTGTATTTTTAAAAATACTAGATTTTTGGGCCCAGTTTTCAAGTTGGTCCAAATCAGGGTGCAAAATTAAACTTTTGTTTGATTCAACAAAAATTGAATTTATGGGGTTCTTCAAAATGCTGAATCTAACCATGTACTTAGAGATTTTGGATTGTGGGCTCCTTTATCAAATTGGTCCACATTGAGGTCCAAAGGGTCCTAAATTAAACTTTTGTTTGATTTCATCAAAAATTGAATTCTTGGGGTTCTTTGATATGCTGATTCTAACAATGTTCTTAGATTTTGGATATTGGACCATAATAGGTAAATGTCTAATTTCAAATTTTTCAGTTCTTTGACCACATTCATTTTGTGTCACAAACCTATGCTGTGTCAAATATTCAATCACAATCCAAATTCAGAGCTGTTTTAAATGTAGTGTCCATACTTGCTCAACTGTTCAGGGTTCGACCTCTGCAGGAAATCCAGTTTGCTGTCACTCTGACAGCCTCTTGTTGTTCCGTATTGAATTGAATTGTTATAGTGAATTGGTCCTTGTTAATTGTAATGATGTTTATTTAGCAATTACTTTTAATAAAAATTGTAATTTTGTGAAAATCTTGAAAATTATATACCTCATGTGTTATATTTTCATCTTTGTCATGTTTGTATTACTGTGAATTCATTTATTTCATGTGTACCAATTCTTTTTCATGGATTTGGGGGGGGGGGTCTGTGATTTGAAGTAATCTTCATACATTTTGTCCTACAAGCTTATCAATAATTGGTACTTTGTTGAACACTTATATTTATTGTTCAACTTTACCTACATACAAATTCCATGTAAATTGCTACCCAAATAATAATAATGAACCCACAGTACATTTACCAAATTTGTACCATAAAGAAGAAATTTTATAACATAATTTTTGTAAGTATTTTTTACTGTTCCAAATCGAAATAGCACACCTTTAAAGTTTTACGTCCAATATAATTCAGTTTTTGTATCATTAAATCAAAAGGTAAAAATGAATCTGCTTGTATTTTTTTCGTATTTAATGTTAATGGGTTTTTCTATGAGATGCAATGATGTTCATTTAAACAAAATAAGATTAAAATTAAAATTCTGGAAAAAAACATGTATATAGTCAGTTGGCATTAAGGTTTACTTAACTTTTTTAAGATACACTTCTGATCCCTTAACTTTTGTAGAATTTTGTTTTGGGGAGTTCAATGATTTTCAATCAAATATTGCCACCGTTCAAAGATTTGCATGAATGAACTTAAAGGTGACCAAACATCATGAAGAAAAAATAATTCAATTTTAGAAATTTGCAATATTCAATTAAATGTCTCCCCGAGGTTGCATACCATGTAAAAATATTCATGAACCAAAACAATTTGAAGGGGGGAGATAACTTATTTGATTCATCTGATCAAACTGACCTTGCAAGTGTAGCTCCTTGCAAGTGTTTGTTTTTACTAAAACTTCACACAAGGTAAAGTACATATCATATGAAGATGTGCATGAAGGAAAATAATTTTATATATCTACAAGGTCTTTGAGTTGATTGAAATTGAAATTTTATTTTTTATTAACCATAATATTGACCCTATTAGCAGAACTAAACCATTAAAAGGATTTAATAAAACTTCTTTCAAAAGTATTAACAAAAGGATTTTTTGAGTGAACATAGGTGAAACAGCAGAAACCAGAAGACCTGTAGACTTTAAAAACTTTAAAAGATATCCAAACTTATGTATATGTTTAAGTAAAGCATTATACCACCTATGAGGCCATAAAACTTACAGAGACATGTTTAAGAATAGCATAATACCACCGATTAGGCCATAAAATCATGGCCACGTAAAACTATAATATCAAAGAATGGTTTTGGTGTCATACATGTTGGCAACCCATTGCACCCTCAGAATACTGTAAATTCAAAAATTATTGCGTGCATTTATTATAGCGATTTTCATAGAATAAACAAATATGTGAGATTAATCATTGTGGTTTTAGGAAATCTGCATACAGATATATGTATCAGATATCAGAATGCGAGTGCTTATTATTATGATTCTCAACTAGTCGCATTATTCTCATTAATAAAAACCTCTTTATGATTTCTGAACTTACAGTAATTTCTTCTTCTTTTGGAAATAAACTGACAGGAATAATCAAATCAACATACTTAAGCATTTCACTTACACCATGTGGGATTTAAACTAATGATCCTGTACAATTAAGTATCTAAATTGGTGTTAAAAAGGTTATCCTCCCTGGTTTACCAACATTTCATTCATTTATATTCTTAAATAACTGAAATAGTTGTTAAATTGATTAATATTGAGTGATTTCAATTACCAATTTTCAATGTTTATTCATGTACATCAAAGATTATCATATATATTTATTTGTAAACGTTTTGTTTATGTGTTTATTTTTTATGTTGTAGTTATTGTTATTAGTGAATTATTTCTGTATTTTGGAACCAACAGCATATCTTATTCAACTGATTTCAGCATTACTTTAGTATATTTGTTAAATATGAATTTTACAAATTGATTCATGAAAGATATAAGCATTACTTTAGTATATTTGTTAGTTATGTATTTTACAAATTGATTCATGAAAGATATAAGCATTACTTTAGTATATTTGTTAATAATGTATTTTTCAAATTGATTCATGAAAGATATTAGCTATCATATTAAAGCACAAGCATTTATTTAATTATGTTGCTAATTTCAACATTAGTCTGCACCCAGAAAGTCTATTTACCCTCGAGAAAAAATTGGTCAGACTCAAATGGCAGAACCAACTGAATGTAATTTGAAATAGAATAGAGAATGGAAACAGGGAATGTGTCAAAGAGGCAACAACCCAAGGCTACCAATGGGTCTTTAATGCAGGGAGAAAATCCAGCATCTGGAGGTGGGCTTTAGCTGGCCCCTAAACAATTATATGAGTTCAACAAAATGGACACCACACTGAACTCCGAAACATACAAATGAACCAAATTTTTAAAAAACAAACCAGAATTACAAAGGCTAGAGGTTCCTGACTAGAGACAGGCGAAAAAATGTTGCATTGTTAAACATGTTTTGTAAGATCTCATCCCTCCCGCTTAACCTCTAGCCAATGTGAAATAAACAAACACACAGCAAAAGATACAGTAAAGTTAAAAGAAGTCCCATGTAAGAATAAGTTCTAGAAGAAAGTAAGCAAAATGACGACAAACATAAATAAAGGACTACCAGTAGTTACTGACATGCCAGCTTCAGACTTGAATTAAACTGATTGAAAGATTATGTCTTAATCAAATGCAAATTAACATCAATCCATCCCATTAGGGGTTAAGTATCTTGCCATCACGAATTATACGAGAAAACGAGAAAACACCGTTTCGAAAGGCCATTTACATTGTTATGACACTAGTATTTCATATGCTTTAGATAGCTAGTAAAGGAAGGTGTTGTATACAGATGTCTTTACCTTGTGTTGCCAATGGTGAAAGCAGGTCTAGTAACTGCTTCACTCTGTCCATCAGTCTGTCTTTCTCTGAAAATACTTCCGTACAAAACTTTCATTAATTTTCTTTGCTTCTATGAAAGGGAATAATTTTATATTTGGTATGCAGCTTTATAATGCTGAGTTGTAGTTTGTAAGCAATTTTAAGATCTGCCTTGCAGCCACATTCTGCTTGCCATTAGTTTGAAATTTTACAACACTCATTGTACAAGAAAAATGGTTTCGATGAAGGGGAATGATCAGTTATGCTTCAGTATACAAGTTACCTCGATCAATTGCATGCAGCGACAGAGATCCAGATCCGGTATAGAAATAGAACAACTAAGAATAATTACAATCACACTAGGCATTAGACAACATTCCCTGAAAGATGAACCATGGATGTTAAGATCTGCCATCAACACAACATTCTTCAATCTACAAAACACACGGTAGTGTAGACAACTACTAACAAGGTTCCTAACTTATGACAATAATATTCACCTGTGGTGGGTAACTTTGACTTATGGTTACTTACTACGGATCTTACTTGGATTGGTTAGACAAAGTCTATATCTGTCTTATAGTATGGTGATATTGGATAGGCAGGCAGGGAAAAGGGAGAACATAACTTGTGTAATCCATTCCTCCTACAGTTTTCAACACCAATCCTTAAAACTCCACAGAAAGATTGTACCAGGGACTTTCTATACTAGTATAGACTGTCCCTGATTGCACCTATGTTGAAATTGTGCATCTATTATGAAATATTTTGGGGATTTTTTCCATATTTTCTTAACTTGGTAACATAATCATTTTTCACCAAAATTTACAAAAGACGGCATTATAATAATGTTGAATGTTACATTTAAATTTAAGAAAATATTCAGTTTGCTTAGTCTTTTCTGAATAATTATACATGCAATATATAAAGAACCATCTTGGTGGACTCTTGGTAGTGTGCTTGCCTCATGTTCAGGAGGTCATGCATTCCAATCCCAGGTCGTGTCAAATCATCGACTTAAAAATTGGTACTTGCTGCTTGGCTTTGCATAATGTACTTAAGAGTAAGAGCAAAGACTGGTTGGCTCAGAACCCTAATAATGTGCCGTCTGGTATAGGTGACCGGTCTGTCTGCGGACTGTTACCTTATAAATTAGGAACCATCAGATTAGAATCTGGCTCAGAATGACTATCTTATACAAAGCAGGGTTAATATTCATAACACATTAACATGTTCTCGTTCTGATATGCATGTAGTATTTGACATGAAACACCAATCAATAGCCATCATTATATTTAAAGTTGTAGTCGAACTGTCAGAAATCATCACTTTAACTACTTAAATCTTCAGAATTTCAAATAGTGTCCAAGACATATTTGCCCCATTTCATGTCGTTCTTATATTTAGCTTATTTACACCTATTATTCAAGCAACATCAAAGTAAAATAGAGCAACTAAGTTCTAGTTTATTGCAGATTGGTTGAACAAACTTAATAAACAAACATAATCCTGTTTTGGACTTCGTCCAACCTGGCAAAAGTGAGGTCATGGTCCGAGGTATCCTCTCAGACAAACATGTACACTATAATGATTTATAATCCTAATATAGTTGACATATCTTAAGAGTATCTGGAAACTGACCTTATCACTAACGAAATAAGGTTAAGGCCAGGTGAATTACATCTGACAAACAACCTCACAAGTTGACCTCTTAATTATAGTAAATGAAAGATCATGGTTTAATCAAATGTTTTTATGCAACCATTAAAACATGAAAATTAGGTCCATATACCTGAACAAAAAAAATCTTCAGACCATACGTTTTTTTTATACGATATGGATTGACAATTCTGAAAAAATAAAGCTTTATACTGCGTTATAAAAATAAGAAGTTGTGGTAAGTTTGCCAATGAGACAACATTCCACCAGAGACATTTAATGATGCAGAAGCCAACAACCACAGGTCACCGCACGGCCTTCAACAATGGGCGTAATCCACACCACACAGCAAGCCACAAAAGGCAGACATGACAAATAGAAAACAATCCAAACCACAAAACCAACATCAAGATCCATGTAAAAAAAAAAACAACAAAAACAAACCTGACACACAGTAAGAAACGGCATCACTGAACCACAGGCTCCCGACAAGCACTCACAGAATGTGGCATGTTCAAACATACACGCTGATGCCCAACCCTCCCTCAATCCAGGACAGCTGTGTCGCTTCCAGATTAGCATCCCTTTGTTTTACATTATGTATAAGTTGCAGCCTAGACCATAAATATAAGATTGTTTCATTGACAGTCAAACAAGTGTACTCTAGCCTCGTGTTATGTAATGGCTTTAATATTACAATTCCTGTAACTTTTTTCGTTTGTTAAATACTTGGTCATGGCATCAATTGGTAGCACCTATATAAGATCAACTCTTTATTTGTTTCATTCCAGTCTTGGAAATTCAAATACAATGTAGTTTGTCTTTTTTGAATTGTCAGTGCTAAAGGGAAATCACTCTTGTAGATAGAGTTTTCTTTTAACACATATTCATTGTACTATTCTTTTCCTGGATATTCATGAAATATTTGCCACTGTAACCTGACTATTCACAAGTCGGGATTGGGATTTTTTTTTGTTGCGGGAATTGGGGATTTACACCTATCGGGACTCGGGAATTAATGATTACTTTTTCGGGATTCGGGAAAGAATGATTTATTTTGTTCGGGAATTCGGATTGACAACCCCTTCTACCGCCCCTCTTACACCTCTTCTTCCTGACCCTCAAACAATAATTTTATCTTGAAATTTAGTTGTTTCATAGGCGTTCTTTTGTGTTGCTAGTAGCGGTCTCAATATCATATACCCAGCATTCATTTTGCTGAAATGTATTTGTTTGGGATCTGCAAATATGTAAAATGAGGGTCTGGATTGGGGGTGGTGGGGTGGGGCGGAGGGGTCTTCATATCTCTGTATTCTTTATTTTTTTCGACCATTTTTCTCTATTCTTTATACTTTTTTCCATTATTCCCTATTTTGTATATTTTAGCACTCATTATTCTGTTATTTTTTGGTCCATTTTTCTCTATTCTTTATATTTTTTGCCCATTATTCTCTATTCTGTTCACCCACATCCACACCCTATAACATTGTAGGTCTTTCAAAGATGAAAGAAAAGAAGAGGTCTCTCATGACACAGTACACCCTACTTAGGTGAACTTAGTCGGAAAATATCTAGAATCACCTAAGGAAAATGTAACAGATAAGAGGAACACAGAAAGGTAAATCATTTATTCATACTTCCTTTTTAAGTTGGGGTATAGAAAACTTTCTAAGAGATTTGACATATTAAATCACTGTAACTTACAAGACAAACTTCAAAAAATACAGAAATACAATCAGAAACAAAACAACAAAAAATTACAGTGGATTCAGTATTATTCAAGTGATAAAAGTTTTTGTAGATTTCGTGGGTACAGGTGAACCAATTGGTGATTTCAATTTTCTTTAAAGAGCAAATTTTATATAGGATGTATGCAGACTTTTGTAAACTGACCACGAAATAAAATATACATGAAAATACTTTTTTCCCTGTCGTTACTTTACCAAGTTATACATGTATTGATAAAAACATCGAAACAAGCTGTTTATCCTCGGCGTGAAAAAAATGGCTAGTAATCGTTATTTAAATGATCAAGATTTGTTTAGTGACTTACAATTCATTGGAATTATCAAATAAATATTAATTTGCGAAGCAGATTTTCCTAAAATGAAAATTAACATTTTAAATGTTTGTTCGACACAAGCGAGTGAGGGAAAATTTGTACAGGTATGGAGACTTCAGTTTCATCTTTGGCCCGAAATGTTATTCTTTTCAAATTATTTATGACCAGTTTCGTTGTTCTTTTTGTGAAGCAAAATTAATGACCAATTTCCCATTTAAATACGAAAATTTTGTCTTTTGGTTTTTGTCTTATATCACAGCTTATTTTTATATTATTATTTTTGCAATGCAAGTTGTTAGCGACTTATATCCCTTTTCAATATTATGTCTATATTCTTGCCATGCTAATTGACTATGACCAATCTACCTATTTTCTTCTTCTAGTGTTTTTTTTTAGATATTCCAAATGTTGTCTAGTAAATTTAGAAAATGAAAAAAAGGTTGAAACTTAACACTGATGATTTCTACTTAATAACTATGTAAAAAAATGAATCTTTTGGCGAAAGTTTGTCATTAACAAATACAAGAATAGTGTTTTCGGAACCGGGAACACTGTCAATGGTTACTTGGTCATTTTTTAATGAGTTTCTTTTTTCTTTGTGAGTTTTTGTGTTGATAACAGATCTTTGGGAGTATTTTTTAATAAACATGGGGCGATTTAGAGCTTTATAGATGGCACAAACCCGTATCTATTTTTTAAATACCATGACCTTTGTCTCCTTATTATCCAACTTGGAATGAAGAGAATAAGTAGTAAGTATATATTGACCTGAATATGTCTTTTGATATTCTATGTCATTGGGTTGCTGTCTTATCACATGTCATTTTAATCGTATATATTTACCGTTATGCAAATTACTGTAACCTTTCTTTTGCAGATAAAATGTTGAAGAAGACTCGTATTTTGATCTTACTGACATTTGTAGCTGTATCATACATGTTAAGCTTAGGTATATATAATACAATGAAAATCCGCAGATATCTGGAATTGAAAAATAAAAGAAGATGTCTGACGGAAAAATCCAAATTAACAGATTCTAGTACAGTTGGTAAAGTCATAACACGAAATATGACCGATTGGAGAATTGCTGATGATATATGTCAACATGGGGATGATTTCGTTTTGGCTCATTTAAAATATCCACTGAATACACCAATATATGTTTACACAGAAGAAGTTGACCAATATGTTTCCAAATCTGTAATTAATAGAGGAGAACAAGAGCCTTCAAATGTTGCCATAATCATTGACTACATGAAACGTTTTCCTAATGCTGTGTTTCTCGATATTGGAGCTAATGTTGGGGTGTTTGCCATTACATTAGCCACGCTGGGATATAGGGTTATAGCATTTGATTGTCAAATAGGCAATGCAGCAAGAATGTGTGCGTCCATGAAAGCAGGAGGGTTAACAGATAAATTAACAGTTGTTCACAATGCCGTTTCCAACGTACACCAGAAAGTATCATTGTCGACGGGAAAACAAAATATTGGAATGACATGGCTGGTCAAATCTCAACTTGGTAAACCCACTGTCGACACCGTTTCCCTAGACGATTTATTAGAAATCTACAACTTTAAACGAGCCGTGATAAAAATGGACGTTGAACTTTCAGAAGTAAAGGTCCTCACAGGAGCTTTCAACTTTTTTCACCAAGTTCGAGTTGAAGCAATTTTAATGGAATTTCTGCAATCTCCTGTAGATAGTAAGTTTGGTGAATCAGTCCTGGACTTTATGAAATCACACCATTTCGCACCTAATGACACAAGTAAATTGAAAGAGTGGGAGTTTAATAAATGGGATACACACGAGATTTTATTTGTTCGAAAATAATTATGTATAATGTATATGGCGAAACTTAAAAAACACAATAAACACATTTTCAAACTACATAAAAAATGGGGAATAGTAAACTATAGGATGGAAATAAAATATCTTACAACGCGTCAAGTTTTAACTCCGTATACAAGACATCAAGTTAAACAACTGCGTGTATATCAAGTAACGACAGTTATAAATGAATTAAAATTCTTTTGCTATTTTTATTAGTTTAGCTTTTATATATCTATGCCTCCAGGTGCGGGATTTCCTCGCTGTGTAGAAGATCCATTGGTCTTGTGCTGTTTTCTGCTCTTTGGTGGTGTTGTCGTCTCTTTGGCATATTACCCGTTTCCATCCTCAATTTTATCTATGTATTTTACCTGCTTTGATACTATAACTGCCCTTGAATTTTTACTAGATAACATTTTTGTTCGCTATGGAGATTCCGTATATCGTCAAGTCATCGGAATTCCAATGGGGACTTACTGTGCACCACTCATTGCGAACCTGTTTTTTGTATTGTTATGAGTTACAATTGATGACTAAAATCAGCAAAGACCCATCGAAACAACATCTGATACAAAAATTTAATAACACTTGAGATATTTGGATGATATATTGGCTCTCAATAATGATGACTTCAGTATGTACACTAAAGAGATTTATCCTGCTGAACTGACTTTAAATAAAGCTAATACTACCAATGAGCACTGCCCTTTCCTGGATCTTGATATCTATATCGTAAATGGGAAGCTTAATACCAAAATTTTTGATAAAAGAGATGATTTTTCATTTCCTATTGTTCATTATCCATTTTTAGATGGTGACGTTCCCTTATTACACCAGGGTTTTCAATATCATTAACTAGTCAAAACATTTACTAAATTTTATCATCGGTACAAGGACATCATTCGTAAATATAAATCAACATGCAGACATCTTATACGTTCAGGTATTTCACATCCAATCTTTTATGGTAATATTCTATACAAAGCACAAAAATGTCGGCATTCACCTCAAAAGCTAACCAAACCCTTAAACAGACGTATTCAGAAGGGATATAGTTACGATACTGTTGTCAGGTCATTAAAGATGGCATATTTTGGTATTAATATTGATTCACTCATAGGGTCTTTGCATAGGAAATAAACACATTTATTTTAAAACCAGTTGTTGGTATGATACGGGTTATGCTCTGCTCATATATTTTATGATGGTATGACACTAAACCCCTTACGGGAGGGATTGTGCTTGATTTTCATATGATGAAGACATAATCTTTCAATCAGTTTAATTGAGGTCTGGAGCTGGCATGTCAGTAACTGCTAGTAGTCCTTTGTTAATTTATGTATCATTGTCATTTTGCTTAGTTTCTTTCGTTACCTATTCTGACATCGGACTCGGACTGCTTTTAAACTGAGTTTTACTGTGCGTATTGCTGTGTGTTTGTTTATTCTACATTGGCTAGAGGTATAGGGGGAAGGTTGAGATCTTACAAATCATGTTTAACCCCACCTCATTTTTGCGCCTGTCCCAAGTGAGGAGCCTCTGGCCTTTGTTAGTCTTGTCAGAGACATATAATAATGTATTATGTGTCTCTGGTCTTATGTTTTTTAATTTTAGTTCATTTATATGTTTTGGAGTTTAGTATGACGTCCATTTTCACTGAACTAGTACACATTTTTGTTTAGGGGCCAGCTGAAGCCCGCCTCCGGGTGCGGGATTTTCTCGCTGTGTGGAAGACCCATTGTTGGCCTTCGGCTGTTTTCTGCTCTTTGGTCGGGTTGTTGTCTCTTTGACACATTCCCCATTTCCATTCTCAATTTTATAATAAGCTTTTCAACTCCTGTGAACACTTAAAAGCGAATAAATCCCTTATGGGAAAAGAAGATGACTTCTATTTCCTCAAATATACAATTACATTCCATAGCACCTGAATATTGATTGCTATAGTATATATACACCAAAATCGATTGATACTAAATTCAAGTTTTTGTATTTCCTATTTGGTTTCATTGATATAGTGATGTTAATAGAGAAGCTATAAAACAAAGGGTTCTGAATGATCCCTAAGTTGAACTCATATTTTACTATCATAAGTATATATATGATCGCATATGGAATATCCGTGTCCCAGATACACATAGCAACACCATATATAGTTCTTCTTTCCTGTTTCGTGATTTAATTTTTTTTAGCGAGAATAACTTATATAATCATACATAAAAGGGATAACATGAATCTGTATAAAATCTTTTGAGCAGAACAACAAACCACACCCAAGGACAAGAAGTACAAACAAAAACGTTGCAAGGCACAAATGTGAATATCAATGGATGTTTAATGAGTATGAGTAACACGAAACTAGTTAGTGGACCCAGTATTAATAACATCCTTCGTGGAATTCAAGTATTATAAGAATGACAGAACTTTGTGTGTATATTTGTGCACAAGAGGTATATATTTAACATGAATCAGAGGTTGAGATGCATACTGTTACTCCAACTCCAGAAATTAATGCATTCATTTATCATTGTGAATCCTTTACTACTAGGAAAATGGTGATGTCTAATTAATGTGATTGCAAACATTTTATGTCAGAAGGAAAATCCCTACTGAAATTATGAATGCAAGTTTTTATTACAGCAAACCTGATATCGTCACATTTTTGCATTAATAAAAACAATGCATTAATTTCTGAATTTACAGTACATGGTTAATGTATAGACTCATTACAAGTCTCATTCTTAACATTGTCTTGAAGTAGAACCCCACTTTGTTTAATATCCTGCATCCACATCGGTTGAGTTTGAAGTTTGCTAATAAGTCATTATAATCTTACTCCAGACATAATAAAAAATACATTATAATTGGTCTAAAATCAACCTTTAAGGGCAAATTTCATTTGATGGTTTATAGTTATATTGTTATTTTTGCAAATTTTGTATTGCTAACTGTTTTCACTGTGTGTAGTTTCTGTTAATGTATATTAAGATAGAAGGCAAACAGTCAGGGGTGTGGAAATGCTATGCCCGACTCACCAGACTCGTATATTTAACCGACCGGACAAGCAATTTTTTGTGTCTTTGTTGCCCGTGGACAGAGACATATATACACATATATACAAATACAAATATTTTATTGGCACAAACTCAATTACAATAATTGGCAACGGCCCATACAACTAGTATACAAGTGGTTATGATGCAGCAATTAAACAATACTACATAACATATTAATATGCACATTTCGAACAATGAAATTTGCAGTTATATATATATTAATATACATAGGTTAATGTAGAATAGGCTACTGACATACATACATTGTATGTTATAGCTTCATAATGTTCATATTACTCATTTGTCAGGACATTTTTCCTTAATTCAAATGATTGATTAATAAAAGATGATATTAATCTAAGTGTTTTTCTACACTTGCTATTAAGTAGTAGTTTGATATATTCATCCTCAGTTTTGGATTGTTTGTCATAATTTTTAAAATTGGACAATTTTGATATAAGTACATTTCTTTGTGATTCATATTTTGTACAGTGCAAGATAAAATGTTTTTCGTCTTCTATATTATTATTATGACATAATTTGCACAACCTTTCTTCTCTGATATATGTGTATATATGTCTCTGCCGTGGACAAGTAAAAAAACTGTTGCTTGACAATGTTAATTTTCATAATCATATAGAAAAATCCTCAAAATTTATTCATCAAAGTAGAAAAATATCAAATAATAAGACGAAAGCCACATGTAAGTATAACAACATCAATGATCAAGAAATAGATCGATTGTCAAACAACAAAAAATAAGTATGCGGACCCGGTTTTCATTAATATTCTGTGATTTTTTTTCCCATTGATCCGGGATCGTCGATCAGGTTATAGCAACAATACACTGGAAATGGTCATTATTAATTTCCAGCTATGAGTTCTCAAGAATGAAAACTAAAGACCGGTCGAGTTGGATAAGCATCTTTAGATAGGTCATCGCTCGGAAGTTGACCAACAGAAAAGAGGCGCCTCATAAAAATAAAACTAATGATCATAGAACTTGGTTTTGACAAGAAACAACAAACCAATAATTTATCAATTATTTAGTTTTCATCTCTTCATTACTTTGAAACTTCACACAGACTCACAGTGAAGAAAATGTTATTCATTATATAATATCCCAGGTTCATGTAAGCTAGCATCGAAAATTAATTTGCAAAATTGGCCTCTAGATTCTTTAGTTTAAAGTCGTTTTCTTTGGTGGGTTTCTATCTCATTGGTGTATCCTTATATTACTTATATTTTTATCATTCCTACATACAAACAAAGACCACAAATAACATTTTCATTGTGTTTTAGAAACATACACGTTTACAGTAAAATACATCTTCATTCCAAAATTCATTAAGAAATCAGGGCAAGTAACATTTCTTCTGGACAAGTAAAATTTACAATTTCACTTGCCCGGGGACAAGTGGTAACAACAAATATTTCCACACTCCTGAACAGTCTAAAATTTGTCATAAATCATTATTAAAATATAAGACAAAAATCTTATTGGTAAAAAATGTAAGGAGTCAATTGATTGAGGTCTGTTCATTAGATCTTGTATTGTGGATAATTTTTTGCTGTGTAGAGTTTCATTCTATCTATTTAAGTTGTCAAGATAATGGCAAAAATGTTAAAATTGTTCATAAAACCATCATTAAATGTCAGAAACTGCTATAAGGTGTCAATTGATGATTTCAGTAATATTGTGCATCCTGAATTGATGGATCTATTTTAATTATTTACAGTAAGTGTGTCTACTAGGTAGACTTTTAAGGAAAAGACAAAAATACTAATATAAGGAGGGTAAGTAAATAGTCTTCTTATAGTTTAGTTATAACATAGGGAGATTAAAGCATTCTGAAAATTTACCTCCTGTAATTTTTTTGCTATTTATAATGATGTTCAAAATATAAGACAATAACTTGTTTTTTACCCGTATGCTCAAATCTTTTGCAATGGTGAGCATACATAGTTGGCATGGACTTAATACACAACCTTTAAACTTGATACCCATAGGATCATTCGGGCAAAATTGCAAGAAATTTGTCCTTTTGTATCAGACAAGGATATTTTTATTCTAAATTTCTGACAAAGACAGATGCCAAGTGATGACAATATCTAACATGGGATATCAGACTAGGTGAGTAATTAGATGTTTACATCAGTTATGTGAATGTAAAAAAAAATCCAGTCTTAACTTAGCTCTATTTCTTTTTTATTTGGGTGACATGCATGTGACAAGTATCCAAAATGACAAAATGTAAACCTCCAACATTCTAGTCAATTTTATTTAAATTACTTAGCTTTCTTGTTTGAATTGTTTTACATTTGTCATTTTGGGGTTTATAGCTTACTATGCAGTATGAGTTTTGATCATTGTTGAAGGTCGTACAGTGACCTATAGTTGTTAACTTCTATGTCATTTGGTCTCTATTGGAGAGTTGTCTCATTGACAATCATACCACATCTTCTTATTTTTATAAGTAGTTAAATAAGTTTAGAAGTAACAAACAGCAATTGACATCTTTAGGTGGAGTGAGCTAAAAGGCTTTAAATAACACTCAATTACATGGATTTTTCATTACCAGTAATATGGTTTTACTGATTTAATAATACAAACTAAGTTCCACTTTTTCAATTGTTTTATTGACACCTTTCTGCAGTAATATAACATGGCAATCTATAATATATCTTTCCATGCCTTATTACTTACTAGTGTTTGCAATAACTTTTATGTAGAAGCTATATGTATTTAAATTTCAGCCATATATATGTGTATATATCATAACAGCAATTTCTTCTAATTTTACATTTGCCATATATTTTCTAAGCGATTCAGTAAGTCTTTTTCATGCTGGCAACACATTACATTTCACTGAGTTAAAAAAGAATTCTAAAAAATTACTTTCATGATTTTTAGTCTGAGAAAGTCATAAGAATCTCAAATTGTAATTTTTTGTTGGATAATCCGTTAATTTCCTTTCCATCAAGTCTTTGTGTAGTCGTATTGTTACTGATTACTCTCTCTTCTTTTTCATCTTTTGCCTTTCGTGGATTTCCATGCTTGACTGAACACAACAATATACTACAACTATGACAATTGACCATGACTTCAACCATCCTGAAACATATATACATTACAGATAATACAAAACAGTAAAATTGAAGTAGATAGAAAAGCTCCTTTTCAGACAAACATACTATCAACATAAAAGGTTGCAGATCTAATAATAAATGTAGTTACAATGGTATTTAACTCCACACAATTTCTCTGTCTTAATCTGAAGCCATATCCTTCAATCCCTTTTAACCTAAACAGGGCAAACATTTTAAATTTTAAGAATCTTTATTTCAAATGAACATTTATACCCTGAGGGGTTGATGGCATATAATAATCAACTAAAATACAAAACAAATAGAGTTATTCATTAATTAGTGCTTACTGTACACTGCATTAGCGCAAAATGCTATATTGCAACAAATAAAATGAAAAATTGCATATTACATATTTAGTGCAAATATTTGCAATTCTTTTTATTATTCATTTTCTGCCATAATTTTTCGTGGCAGGCTTTCAAATTAGGCTTACAAATACAAATTTAGTTCAGTTATGCTAAGTTCTATAATGCCACAATAACTTTGAAAATTCAGTCTGTAAACTTAATTCTTCTTATATCACCATTAAAGTGAAGGGGCATTTTTTTTGTTTAACTGGTAGGTAATGGTTTTTGGTGGATAAACAGGCTTCTTTTTTCAGATGTGAACATTCACTGGGAGGGGGGCCTGGATACTGGTTAACTGAATATTATAAAGCTTACCTTTAACAATAAATTTCTGGTAATACATGTATCCAATAACACTTCCTCCAAAAAAACAAAATGCAGTAAATGTTGACATTACAAACAATGGTACTACAGCTAAACCTTGAATTCTCCTGTATATACCAGGCATGGAATTTTTCTGAAATTAAAAGATTACCAGTACTATCACATGTTAATATTCTGGTGAAATTTACCCCAGTAATGTTGTTGATTTTCAAGCTAATTAAAATAAGAACACATTATTCACACTACCGGTATTTGAATGTTTAAGAAATAATTCTTTCATGTCATGCTTTATGCTCATTTTAACATGGGTAGGCATTATATTTGTCAATATCTTTATACCGAGCGTTAGCGAGGTGTAAAATATTGACTAATATACTGCCTACCGATGTTAAAATTAGCATAAAGCATGAAATGATAGAATTATTTCGATTCTGATAGGAATATTAAGAGCTTTTGTACTTCGAAGCGGACCTATAGTACACATTCAAAAGGCAGCCATTTTGATTTGATGAACCAAAAATGTTATAGAAAATCAACAGTTAAACGATAAAAAAATTAACATATAAACGTAAACTTACTTTTAGAATGATTTTATTTAATTTCTTAGCGAGCAACACCAACAAAACTGTCCATTTGGACCTCTGGCGTTGTTCAAAATACAACTGACGTTGCAATATCAATTGTGACATCAATCACGTGCAGCCCATGTTTTATTGTAATTAGAACATGGCTTTGTTTCCAAAGCGAAAGAAGGACGTCATATTAGAATTATAATTTAAAGAAAGATTGTTAATTTTTTTCAACTATTTCAGTCAAGTGGAAAGATCCACTGATACATTCCCCAACCTCTCCTCACCCTTAATAAATGCTGACGCAAGAAAGAATAGTAGAAAATTATTTTAAATTATCTGTGTATACTTACAAATTTACATACAGGTGTCTGTTTGTCTATCCAATATCCCAGTACTTCTAGTGAGATACCAATAAAGTTAAATAATGTCCATAGAAATATAAAGTATTCTATTCCATGCCAAATATACACAAATATAAAACAGCCTAAAGAACACAGTAACTTCTGTATAATGTTTCCTTGTGAACCTCCTAATGGTAAATAAATATATCTGAAAAATAAAACTGCATTATAAGTTACCTATTTCAACAGAAATGTTCACATTTGATATGGTGCATGTGAAGCTATTAGAATTAATTCTTTACAATTTCTTTTGAAATTCTCACAGTATCTATTTAAAATATGTGTTCACTGAAGAAATATCTCTTGTTTCACATCATGACCATAATCACAAACCAAAGAAAGGACCATCAAACAGTTATATGCAAAAAATATGAATTTAATTTTATTTTTAAAAGTAAGAGTCTGTTTGATAGAATTTCAAATGCTGTTTTGCATTGGCAGAAATTTATGGATTTCTCTAACTAATCTTGAATATATGATGTTAGCATACACACACTGGATGCTGAGGATTGTGGGTTTGATCTGGCTTTTATAACAAAGTCTTAACAATTTCTATTTGACCTAGCTTTCCCCCTTAGCACCCACTATTTTAGAGTAAGATCAAAGACTGGCTGACTAGCAGTCAGAAAGTTGACATGTCCTCCTACACATGGTTAACTTGTATCCAAGCGCTTAAGAAAGGAATCAGCATGTCGGTCAAGTACAAATGACATTAACATTAACACTTTTAATTGTACATACAGTGGCGGATCCAGAACTTTTCATAAGGGGGGCCTGCTGACTGACCTAAGGGGGGCCCCGCTCCAGTCATGCTTCAGTGATTCCCTATGTAATCAACCAAATTTTTCCCACGAAAGGGGGGGGGGGGGGAGGGGCTGGGCCCCCCAGGCCCCCTGGATCCGCCTATGACATATTATCTGTGCTGATCCTTAAGCAATTTGGGAAAGGTGCTGCTTTCAAAAGAACTGATTGTTTCAGAATTTGTCATGTCAGGGACTTTTATAGTTGACTATACAGTATGGGTCTTGCCCATGGTTGAAGGCCGTACAGTGACCTAAAATTGCTTACATCCACGTCATAGTTGTCTCATTGTCAATCATACCACATTTTGTTATTTGGATATTGATGATAAGGGAATTGGCAAAAGAAAAAAAGAACATCAATTCAATGTTTAGTTATATTTGCATTACTAACCTTTTTATAAAACTGTACATTCCTCTATCAAAGTACCTGAAATATTCATGAATTGGATTAATAAGGACACTCTATTTTGGAAAGAAATGTAAAACAGCAAAAGCAGAGTAATAAAAACATTCATATTCTTGGAATCTATTTGTAACAAATATTATATGTTATTCAGGTTTCAGACAGGTTATATAATGTGACATTCCCGGCTTATGGTTTAAATTCCCCGAGCCAAAGGAGAAATTCATATCTGTGATACTATCTGTTGATTTTATTTAAAACTTGTCAACTTTTGGACAAGTTGGATTTTGACATATTGTATACAAGGTCTTGCCATCTGCTTAAAGGCCTATTTTGACTGCTAGGTATCTCTTGGGTTTTGTGTTGTCAGATTGCTGTCTCACAGACATATACTCAACCTCTCCTGTTACATATGCATGTTTTCTGCTCTTTGGTCGGGTTGTTGTCTCTTTGACACATTCCCTATTTCCATTCTCAATTTCATAATATTTTGAAAAAAATAATAGAGGTGCATTTTTTTTTTCATTTCATGAAGACGACTCAGGTATCATAAAGAAATTTATATTATAAACTTACTTCCACATATCCGAGTACGTATATATATGACCTATACATTTTGGTCCTGCTGGTGGCTCAATGCCACATGTCCTAGCCACTACAGATGGTATACCAAACATAACTGTATATTTTATCATAAAGAATTGACCTTGACAGTAACCAATACCAGATAATGTCCATAGATCCATATCTTCAATAACAGACAGATTGTGCTGCAAAGCATTGAAGTAGAAGAAATGTAGGATAAACTCATTAAAGACTGCCCAGAATATCATTCTCAGAGCAAGGAATGCTATAGATATCATCTGATTTTCTTGCAGTGGTTTCTGTGCAGATTCATTCATCTGAAAATCAATGAAGTTTTTTGTAAGTGTTGCATTTTAAAAATCAAATTATGCTTATGTTTTAAAATAACATGGTTTCCAATTTCCAACTTCATGTCAGAGCAGACAGAAACAAAAATGATTATCAGATTTGAATAAAACTTTGACTTGTACAACAGTGCATGTAATGAAGAAATTTGACCAAGTTTCTTTTGAAATTCAAGTGTAAACTGTAGAAGATGTTACACTGAAACACTTCCTTTTAATATATGTTGAATAATAAAAATCACAGAAGTGCTTGAAAGGCAGTTTCTATCTAATCAATGTTTAGTGACTTTCAGTCTTCTACATATTATGTGTTTTCATAAACAAAATTAATATATATCTTAGTTAAGAAAAAAATAGAGAAGGTAGGTAGTTACAGTAATGTTATTTTGAAAAATATTTTACATGGATTATATAAGGAAATGTGTGGATTTGAACAGTTCTTAACCAAAAATGGATGAATTTACCTTTACAAAAAATTTCCATAAAATGTGTTAGGGTAGGTAGAGAGGCAGGAACAAAAACAACATGTATATATATATAAATATATCTTTATGTATCATTGCACCTGGAACCTAAGCAGATAACTGATTTTTTTTATGTACATGCAAGTCCTTAAATTATATTTTGTAATTTTACACAATGCTCCTCAAATTATGTTTGTATACCTGCTTAGAAAATCCCTCATAAGTAATAATTGGTCCACAGAAAAACAATGGAAAATAAAAGATGTAAACAAAGGCATCCACAAGAGAAAACTTCATTTCATCTGTCTGTGTGTCTTTTATCTCTTTTTTAATTTCCATATACAGTTTATCTGTGTCAATGTCTTGTTGGGGAGAACTGGTACAAGTCATACACTCTACATGTTCCAGACAAAAACTGGTATACCGTAGATGTGTTAGAGCTAATGTAAACATCAACATATAGTAGGACTTCCCATCAGAGTCTTCAGGATTCAATAACCTCTGAAAATGATACATTGTTAAGCATATTAAAGTATATTAGAGGTCAAAACTGGTTACATTTTCTTTCATAGTATTTCAAAATGGAATAGTATTGTACAACTGAAACATGTTGACCTAACTTAGTGTATACTGACACAAAATGTTGACACAGTTATATGATTGACAAAGAAATGTGTTCGACTCAAACATGTATGGTACATGAAAGTGTAAATTGCCGAGCAATTCTATTTTGGGCATGCATGTATCATAAAAAAAAAGTGATTTTTCAATCCCATCCATTCGTTGTCTACTTTATTACTTTAAATCTATGATAGTTAGAAAAAAAATTCTAAAAAAGTATGAAAAAATGTTATGTTGAAGTGTGACTATTGCCCAATTAGGCCCGTTACAGTTGATAATTTGTAACAGCTACAACAAATTTGTTTGAAAAATGCCAGTAAAAATATTCAAAGACAAAAATTTTGCAACTGGATAAAAAAAAATTGAAACTGACGGCAACCAAAATTAAAGAACCTTAGTGAGCACGCTCACATACCCCACGTCCCCACATTGTCATTGGAGAAATAAAATAAGTGTAAGAAAAAAATTGAATCATAATTTCCTGTCAATATGCAAATCTACATAGTATGTCCTTATTATCTACAAAGTTTCATGAAATTCTGTTGTGTGGTTTGAGAGGAGTTGCGATGACAAACTGTTGCAGTGGTACATTAAAGCAAATAAGTTCAAAGGGGCGTAACTCCTGGAAAAAAAATTGAATCTTAATTTCCTGTCGATATGCACATCTACGTAGTATGTCCTTATTATCTGAAAAGGTTTCATGAAATTCTGTTGTGTGGTTTGAGAGGAGTTGTGATGACAAACTGTTGCAGTAGCACATTAAAGCAAATAAGTTCAAAGGGGCGTAACTCCTGGAAAAAAAATTGAATCTTAATTTCCTGTCGATATGCACATCTACATAGTATGTCCTAATTATCTGAAAAGGTTTCATGAAATTTTGTTGTGTGGTTTGAGAGGAGTTGCGATGACAAACTGTTGCAGTAGTATATTGGGCAAATAAGTTCAAAGGGGCGTAACTCCTGGAAAAAAAATTGAATCTTAATTTCCTGTCGATATGCACATCTACGTAGTATGTCCTTATTATCTGAAAAGGTTTCATGAAATTCTGTTGTGTGGTTTGAGAGGAGTTGCGATGACAAACTGTTGCAGTAGTACATTAAAGTAAATAAGTTCAAAGGGGCGTAACTCCTGGAAAAAAAATTGAATCGTAATTTCCTGTCAATATGCACAACTACATAGTATGTCCTTATTATCTAAAAAGGTTTCGTGAAATTCTGTTGTGTGGTTTGAGAGGAGTTGCGATGACAAGAAAAAGGACTGACAAACTGACGGACGGACAGACGGACGGGTCAAAAACATTATACCCTCCGCAACTCGTTGCAGGGGGTATAATAAGGTCTGTCATACATCAAGACCATATTTATTACAACAAGAGTTCCAACACTATAATGTTTCAACTGCTTTACTGATCATGATTGAATTCAACATTGAAAGTCTTTAAGATGAAGGTTTTGCTACAGGTATCCCATAAACTTAACATAATCAATGATCCATAAATATGAGGTCTAGGTCAGTGGATTTCCCCAAGATGGACATGTACAGCTTCATGTATACCATACACCAAATATAGTTGACCTATTCCTAATAGTTTCTGAGAAAGGGAACAAACAACAAAAACTAAACATTGAAAAATGATCAATGAAATAAGGTCCAGGTCAGGCTAACTTAGTCTGACAGGTATTTTGTCCAGTTCCAACATTTTCCCCTTTGAATTTCTTTTGAACTTTTGAGTTGCCAACTTCTACGTCATTAGGTCTCTGGTGGAGAGTTGTTTCATTGGCAATCATACGACATCTTCTTATTCTTATATGTATATATACCTTACAATTATGCCATACACCAAATGTATATGATCTTTTGCTTATAGTATGTGTAAAACAGACCTAATCATGAAAATGAGGTCAAGGTTAGATGAATACTGCAGAACTTCCATGTATACCTTTCAATCACTCCAAACATGAAATACAGTTGACTATTGCTTAAAATATCTAAAGAATGAACCAAACCAAGAAACTTAATGTTGATTTTGATCATGTGTGTGTTGCACGTAAAACAGAATATTCCAACAACAGATCTGTTTGCAGTTTGCATTGATAAAATTGTTATTAAATGTTACTTGTTCTATGTTTTTTTACATATGTTATCATTTTCATTTGTTTTTCTAAATGATATTTCATAATTAGATCTGAATTATTTTTATTTTCAATTGTTAATTAATACATATATGTTATACATTTTATTTGGCTTTCAGTTTCTTGAAAATAGTCTTGATAATACAAACTTACCATCCATGATATAAATGGTTCAAAATTTAATGTTGAAATCAAAGCAATGGAAAGTATCCACACTAAAACTTTTGATTGGAATAAGCTGATCAGATACATCACAACAGAATGTAGACAAAGCAGCAATAATGACTTCCATCCTAGCAGGTATGTCAATACTATCAGAGAATATATCAAACACGTTTGTCTTCTGTGAATCTGTCCAAATTATAGAGAGAAAAAGTTTAAAATAATTGGTGTCTGGGTTAAATTTTCAAAATGTCAGAATGATGATGAGTTTAAGGAATTTTTAAAAGGTGAGGTTGATTCTTTTACCATCTGCATGAGGATTGAAAGTGATAGTAAATATTATTTTGATTATCATGAGAATTCAGGAATACAGGTCGTACACCAAACTTAGAGCCAAATAAAACACCTGTTGATTTTTTCTCATCATTATTTACAAATGAGATCCTACAATTCCTCATTGTAGGATATAATCACTTATGCCAATAAACAGGGTTGATCACTCTCAAACACAAACATATTTAACTCTGTCACATTCATTGTGTGTCTGCTGCAAGTCAGGAGCCTGTAGTCAAGTCATTGTTACTGGTTGCTGTCTGGTTTTTTTTGCTTAATGTTAATAGCTTAAATCAGGCATTTAGTTTTCTTTTGTAATTTTTGACATTTTGTTATTTTGTGCCTTTTACAGCTGACTTCACCATACAGTTACTTGAAGTACTAAATCATATTTTTCCCACATTCACATCCCGGTATATATATTTTAACTCACCACAGAAAGATGATGTGCTGCTACCGCGTCCAAAGATATGTAGGCAATATACCATGGAATAATAATCCAAAATAAGTTGTAGAAAAAATGCCATTCATAGTTAGACATATCCTAAAATAAACATCCATGTATTAAACTGCATACCTAAAGCATAATGAAATATATGTGTATATATATATATATATATATGAATAGTTGTGATGAATAACCGATGAATTTTTTTTTTCACATTTCTTTCAGAATTTTGGTCACATGTTAAAGGACAATTAAGTTATGCCATGTTTCTAATTTCATCATGGTAGTAGTAAAACATTGTACTTGATAATAGAATTTGCAAGCAATAAACTGTTATATAGGTATAGAACCACTAATTAGGGCCCGGTCGCAAAAAACATACAAGTAAGTAGTACATATTTCAAACCAAATAGTTCCTACCCACAGCTTTTTCACAAAAATAAAACGTTTGGGCAATTTTGGTATCAAATGAAAGCTCAAGGACTTGAGATCAATGTAGAACCCTTGTTGAAAGTTTTTCTTGAATAATAAAATAAATACCGGTATATGAAATGATGATAGGAGGGCATATTTTCCCTGTTGCTCAGATCAAAAGTACCTGTTTTTATACTACCCAACTTCTGGGAACCAGTGCACTTTAATATGCAATTAAAGGTATATTGAATTTTTCAGCACAAGTCAAGATAAGACATAGTTTTACTATGAAATGACTGCCACTTTATTTGAACTTAAAGACAAAATAGCTATACATACTTGAAATTGTATAAATTAACATAGAAAGCAATGGAGCTATGAATTTGTGGTTTTATTCCTATAGAAATGAAATATAAAAGCAAGAAAAATGACAAACAAACTACTTTTGTTTAGAGTTATTAAAAAACATAATGTTTGTTATTTTAGCCAATTAAACAATCCTTCAAAGTAGCCAGGTCAAATACTAATACAATGTATAGAAGAATCAAACTATCAGAACTTTAAAATGGACAATACCAATGCAATCCTATAATGTATGTAGCAGTGCTGAGGTAATTAAATTAAACTGATTCATTATATTTTTCTCCGAGTTCAGTTTGGCATATTTTGTTGCTAAATTCAATAATCACAAATTGACAAAATTAAAGAAGCCGAAATGAAATGAAGAACAGCAATAAAAGCACTGTTCCTTTGCTTTTTGTGTGCTTTTACTGTGTATGTACCGATTTTGTGTCATGGATGGATACCCCATATCCTTTGTAAAGTTTTCTATACATGTAACATAATCCCTTAATAAAAACATACAAGGTGATATGAAAATATGTATAATTAGATGTTATTTGTTTATTCGTCTGTCTAATTTGCTGAAGTTTCATCTTCAGGAATGTCAGACTTTAAAATATTATGCAATAACATTATGTATTATGGTTAGCATCTTTAGATTTCATTCTATAAAATAAATTATTACATTATCTTTATTAAAATAATAGGTTATAGCTAACAACAAACCTTTTGCCTCAGAATAAAAGACCACCCAGTTTCAAAATCATATACATTAAGGAGACCAGCATACATGCACTCTGCAATGAAAATCAGTAAGATTTCAGAATATGTCCCATATTGAGCCAGCAAATACGTCATTGAATATGCCATTTTTCGTCAATTAAAAGTATATGAGAAAACACTTCTGATACCTGATGCAAAATTTAGGTAATGCATGCAAAACGTAAATTTAAAGTAGATTATGATGATATAATTGTATTTTTTCAATATATTCAGTCATTTGTCAGTGGTGAATTACTGTGAATTCAGAAGTTTTTGCGATGTTTTTATAAATTCGAAAAAAATGCTGTAGTATTAGGTTTCCATTACTTAATTAATAAACTGTTATCACAGAGATATGTCTCACCTTTTTGTAATTTTGATTATGCAAATATTGAAATTAAAATAGCAATACTTTAACATGTAAGTTATGCAAATATTCAAAGTCGATGAACCATGACTGAAGGTACATGGCTAAACAATCTCCATGGAATGAGATGTGCCAATGCTAATACAACTGCATACCAAAGACCATTGACTTATATAAGTTGTTCCCTTTAAACAAACCTAAACACAAACATTAACTTGTAAACTATGTAAAAGTTTCAAAGTCAATGAACCATGATCAGGGGTGGGGCTATATAATCTCCATGGAAACGATACTTGCAAATGCCAATAAATTTGCACACCAAATATCATTGACTTAACATTGGCAGTTCATCTTAAACTAATCTAATCACAAACTTATACATGTAAAGTAAGCAAAAGTTTCAAAGTCAATAGACCATGACTGAGGGGGCGGGGCCAAATATTCTCCATGGAAATGAGATGTGCTAATGCTTATACAACTGAACACCAATTAACATTGGCCTACCACTAATGGTTCCCATTGAACTGACCTAATCACAAACTAATACATGTTAACTTAGCAAAATTTTCAAAGTCTATAAACCATGACTAAGGGGGCGGAGCCAAATAATCTCCATGGAAATGAGATATGCCAATGCTTATACAACTGCATACTAAATATCATTGACCTTCCACTAGTGGTTCCCCATAAATTGACCTAATCACAAACTAATACATGTAAACTATGAAAAATTTCAAAGTCAATAGACCTTGACTGAGGGGTTGGGCCAAATAATCTCCATGTAATGAGATGTGCCAATGCTCATACAACTGCATACCAAATATCACTGACCTACCACTAGTGGTTCACCATGAACTAGACCTAATCACAAATTAATACATTGTTGACGCCGCTGCCGGAAACAGCATACCTATGTCTCGCTTTTTGACTCTGTCAAGGCGAGACAAAAACTCATTCATATTTACTGTAGTATTTTTTCATCACAAAACTTTAGCAACAGCATTGATTAGATCTCACCAGTAATTGGTGATTCTCAATAACAAATGCAGGTGTTAATTTGTAAATTTACAGCATCATTGATACATCATTTCAGATAGACCAGAATATGTAAAAATAACAAAATCTGCTCCAGGTCATGATAACATGGAATTGTTCTGTACCAATATTCCAGGGATTGCCTTTCTTACTACTATTTTCTTCATATATGATTGCTGCTTACCAGGAAGATATTGAAATTTTAAGTTGAGGTTATCTTTTCACTTGACATGCTTGAAGTCTAAAAGTTTTATAGATAAAATCATGATATGGTTGAACATTATAGAATATGCACGTCTGTCTCTTCTTTTCTTGATAATGACTAAGTGTGTCACACGAGACAGCATTAATCACTAAGCACTCATGCCTTCTAACATTTTTTTATCCAGTTTTTAATGCTACCAAATTGTAACACGACCTTAAAATATAGGCAAAATTGCACAGCCAACATATAAGAAACTCCTATAAAGTATTTTTCATTTTGGCATGAATAACTTTCAGTCATATTAATAATCCTTTTCATCTTTAAAAACAAAAATTGAAAGCATCAGAAAATCAATGGATAAGATTTTTTTTTTTACAACTTCTTAAAATAACCAGTATTACAAATTGACTCATATTCTCATATTTGATTTATAACAATGTAAAACACTTATCCAAATTATAAAAAGTCTAAAATAAACAATTTACAGGGCATGAGCTCGATAATATGTAGCTTCGTTTCGTGTGTATTTAAGTCTTGACGCCATCTAATTAACTATCGAGTTGACCTCCTGAAACCTCTGATGGTCATATAAGCGGTATAAACATAAATATAGATATAAATAGAAAGCGAAACTCGTGCAATTGGATTTTTCTAGGTCTATTTAATTTCATATTAAAGATTAAAAATATATGTTAATCATCGTTTTTACCTGTATAAGAATGATTTTTGTGGATTGAATCAGTCAATCAAATGATTTACCTTTGTTTCACTTTCAATGTTGACATTCTTTTCCTTTAAATAACCGAACACCCACAATGCATGTGTTATCCATCTCTAGCTAAGGGGTTAAATTGAAGTTCACATGAATACGGATTCAATGAGGTCGAATTATTCACTTGCAAGTGAATAATTCATCATCAATGTTTCTTAGCTTAATTTGACAAAATTGAACCATACTGACTGCTAAAAGCAAATTATTATTTCATTATTTCACCTTCATTAATGATTGAACAAAAAAAATCATACTTTAGATTTTTTATAAATCTCATAGCTAGTGCCCCTTTAAAAAAAGGGCTTTTTAGACATAAGTGCCAACTTTATGGAGAGCATTTTCTCCTATGTAAACAAAGATTTTAGGCAAAATCGCCAAAAAATGGTAAAATCGTCATTATAGGGCAATAACTCTAATGAGGAGTTGACTGAAGATTTCGACTATGTTTGACTTATTTGTAGATCTTGTCTTGCTGATCATTATTGCTATTTAGAGTTTCTGTCTATCTATTATAATTAAGTTCAGAATGTATAATGGTTCACGAATATAACATTCGTTTCCTTTTCCTGTTCTGGGATTTCATGATATAATTTGGTTGAAATGCACTAGAAATTAACAATTAGGGGAAGTAAATCCGTAATTTGCTATCATTCTAACCAAAAGTTATCTAGAGATTTCATGAATTACCAGACACACAGAAACGAAAGACTTACCATTTCCAACTAAAGATGAGGGTAACTTCAAAATAGGATGGTGTGGTCGGCAGGTTTTTTTCAGCCATGTTTTGAAATTCTTCTAAATTGCCTGATTCTTACTAAGACTGGCACTTAATAGGCAAAACTTGCTTTTCATCCCTATGTTCTATTTTTAGCCATGTCAGCTATATTGGTTGGCAGGAAGGTTCTTCGGACACATTTTTTAAATTACCCATAGATACCCCAATGATGATTGTGGCCAAGTTTGGTTAAATTGGCCCAGTAGTTTCAGAGAAGATTTTAGTAAAATTAAACAGACGACGACAGACACCAAGTGATGAGCCAGGGGATCTAAAAAGAAGATTATAATATCAAATTTATCTATTCGTATCTAAATAGTTCAAAGATTAAAGAGTGAAATTTTTTTGTTCACAATTTCATAACCTGGCAGGAGTTAAATACACAACTTCTTGTCCTGATGGCGAAAAAAATCCATGCTAAGCTTGAAAGTAGGAAAGACCCCTTTGCTCTTTCACATAACAACTTGCATGTTTACATTCTCATGTGCTGAAACATGCCTATATCATGCTATGATTGTTAGCCTCCCTACTTCATTCAGAAGGACAAGAAAAATTTCAGTTTAAGTAGGAAAAAAATACATTCAGGTGATGTTAACTGCATCTTATATAAGCAATTTGATTTCATGGTTTTTAACATTGACCAGTATTGTAAAATTCAATTCAGAAATAAATTTCATAATATACAGGCAAGAAATTTTCAATGGCTAAACAAAATTTAATTTACCTTCTTGGCTGAAATAAAAGCAAAGAGAGAGAACAATTTAATTCTATTCAGTGCAAAATATAATTTTTGGAACACTGAAAAACAATTATAATCATGATACATTTTTGTATATTTTATGAAAAGAAAAAAATATGATATCAATAGAATAAGACTTAACTACACCCTGTATCTCTCATCTGGCCTGCAGGTGATATATATTTTTTGATCCTGGTCAGACCTGACTGATATACTTTTTTAAAAATAAAATGCTCCGCTGGGGCACAGCTTGATACGACCGCAGAGGTCGAACCCTGAACAGTTGGGGCAAGTATGGACACAACATTCAAGCTTGATACAGCACTGAATTTGGATTGTAATTAAATATTTGACACAGCATAGGTTTCTGACACAGAATGAAAGTGGTCTAAGAACTTTAAAATTTTTAATTTACCTATTCAAACCATATCATTATTATTTGCTTTTATATTTAAATCAGAAATAACCAATTTAAAATGGAAAATTTTAAAGAAAAAAAATGAAAAAAAAATCCCCCCCCCCGAAATTTTTTGAACCCCCTTATGATTAATCACCCCCAAACTCAATCCCAGCCTTCCCTTTGTGGTATGGTACTTTGCAGTACAATTTCAGAGAGATCCATACACTTGAACACAAGTTATTGTCTGGAAACTAGAAAAATGCTTGTTTTTTGGCCCCTTTTTGGCCCCAAATTCCTAAACTTTTAAGGCAATTACCCCCAAACTCAAACCCAGCTTTCCCTTTGTGACATGGAACCTTGCAGTATAATTTCATAAAGATCCATACACTTACACACAAGTTATTGTCCTGAAACAAGAAAAATGCTTGTTTTTTTGCCCTTTTATGGCCCCTTATTCCTAAAATTTTGAGGGAATTACCCACAAAATCAATCCCAGCCTTCCCTTTGTGGTATGGTACCTTGCAGTACAATTTCAGAGAGATCCATACACCTGAACACAAGTTATTGTCTGGAAACTAGAAAAATGCTTATTTTTTGCCCCTTTTTGGTCCCTTATTCCTAAACTTTTTGGGCAATTACCCCCAAACTCAATTCCAGCTTTCCCTTTGTGATATGGAACCTTGTAGTACAATTTCATAAAGATCCATACACTTACACACAAGTTATTGTCATGAAACTAGAAAAATGTTTGTTTTTTGCCCCTTTTTGGCCCCTTATTCCTAAAATTTGGAGGCAATTACCCCCAAAATCAATCCCAGCATTCCCTTTGTGATATGGAACCTTGTGATACAATGTCAGAGAGATCCATACACTTACACTCAAGTTATTGTCATGAAACTAGAAAAATGCTTGTTTTTTGCCCCTTTTTGGTCCCTAATTCCTAAAATTTGGAGGCAATTACCCCCAAAATCAATCCCAGCATTCCCTTTGTGATATGGAACCTTGTGGTATAATGTCAGAGAGATCCATACACTTACACACAAGTTAGGTCTGGAAGTTACAAAAATGCTTATTTTTGGCCCCCTAATTCCTTAACTGTTGGTACCATAACCCCCAAAATCAATCCCCACCTTCCTTTTGTGGTATTGAACCTTATGGTAAAATTTCATAGAGATCCATTCACTTAAACTAAAGTTAGAGTGCGAAAACTAATGTGTCTTCGGACGACGACGACGACGCCAACGTCATACTAATATACGACCACAAAATTTTTTTTTGCGGTCGTATAAAAAGACAATTTGACTCAGTTAGATAGGTTTTGCATTGGACTCATTCCTGCCAAGGATTAAAAGTTGCATTTCTAATATAAAATTTGAAAATCAGTCACCAATTTATTTCTGGTTAAAAGTCTTTATATATATATATATATACGTAGGACTCACATCTATTGCGGGTTCCAGATCTATGGCAGATTCCAAATCTATGGTAAATATTAAGTCATGCCATCCCGAATCTATGGCAGATTTTTTAGAATCCAATTCTATGGCAAATTTTCTTCTTTCCAAATCTATGGCATATTTTCTAGTTTCCAACACTATGGCAGATTTTCTGCAAATGGAGGACCAGTCAGTACATATCTGATCAATGACTTACCTTAAATAAGTGGCTTTCTGAAGAAATCTTAGTTTCTCCAACAGTAACAAAAATATATGTAATATGTTATTAGAAATTCAAATCTATGACAGACTTTTTTTTTTTAGTTTCCAAATCTCAAGAATGTTTATTTGTTACAATATTACAGGTAGTCGCTGTTATATAGCTGATATATGCTGTAGATCAAATTTAAAGAGTAGCATTTAGGGATAAAAAAAATTACAAGAAAACAGCATAGGATAAAAAAAAATTATGAAAGAAAATCAAAAAGCATACCAAAGTCACAGTCAAAACTCATAAAATCAAGTAAACACCTGGAACACAGACAAGGACAAGAAAATAATGAGCGGAAATAAACACAAAACACAAACACCGAAAACACCAAGAACCAAAGCAAGAACAATGGGAATTATCATTACCAAGAGGAAAATCAGGTGCTCCAGAAGAGTACTTAGCATTTCCTGCTCCGCATGCGGCACCCTTAGAGAGTGGCCTTTTCTTTTCCTTCAATATAACAAACCGTCATCATATGAGAATCTATGTATTCTGCCATCGTTAGCGGCAGCAATGACGTAATGTGACCTTATTTAATTGTAACGTTATAGTTAACTCTTCTTTCCCAAAAAATTACGCAATTTCTAAATCTGCCATAGATTTGGAGAAAACAAAAAGCTGCCATAGATTTATGATTTGTATGGAGTTTGTTACGTCATATTTGCCATAAATTTGAAATATGCCATAGATCTGGAACCCACCATAGATATGAGTTCTACATATATATATTTGTTAATTACAGTGCAACCTCAATACATATATAGTTATACTGTTTACAATACAAATATCAGCCAGTCTCTATAGGCTAAGTGTGAAACATTTTGTTTAAAAATTATCAAACATCAATTATTTATAAATTTATAAATCAGGTAAATGGATATTTTGCAGGACTTTGAGATTAGACCATTTTTGCTATACATGTACAATTAGGATTTCACAACAATGGATATTTTGCAGGACTTTGAGTCAGAGAAAAGGCCATTTTTTTTAGGATTTCACAACAAAATGTCAGAAATTTGGAATAAAATTACATTAGGACTATTAAAAGAGGTGACAATTTATTCGACTGAAAATTTCATACTTGATTTCCCTCGTTTCTGGAATGAAAATTCTAATTCTAGCAACTGTTTTTTTTTTCAGCCTTTCGAAACAAAATAAGAAATTTTCTAAAGCTAATCCTATATGGTATAGTGTATTGCTATAATAAAAGTGTCACAATGATCTAGCCAATGGGGCCAGGGGAGATAAAAGTCCACAAGAAAGCTATTTTAAGTTTAAGAGAAAAATAATTTAAGCTATGTGCAACCAATGGATTTATATCAAACACACCTATTGAATCTTGCCGACTAAAACACTCATACATCATGTACATGTACAGTGATACAAACAAAGTATAATAGTTCACAAGTCAACTATAGTTGTATCACACTTACTAGTTGATGCCCTATAAACACAGTACAGAATATATGCTACTACAGATACGTGTACTGTATTATAAAAGTAGGTCTCCCATGCAGGCAATACTTCTGATTTCTTTGGTTGGACATCCATATTCTTTTTCTTGGTTTCCATTTCCCAGCATTTCTAATAATATAAAACATACCCTTAGTCTAATACATTAATAATTTACATGCATAATAATGTGATCTATTAGAAAACATTTATGGTAAATTGTAATATGAGCCCTGTGGGGCACATGCCAAAGTATAGTACAGATAAATTATTACCAAACTTGTTAAAGTTAATCATAACCTTTTAGTAAATACGGCCATATTTACACCACAAATTTCACACTAGGTACAGACAAACCTGTTCATCTGGAAAAGTTTTAGAGCATGGCTGGACCTAGATATATAAAATTTAAATGCAATTTAGACTTCAGAATACTAAAAACTTAGATTTTGCTATTCATTTTTTTTTTCATTCCTGCAGAAGGTGCCAAAATAAGCTAAGTTGGGAAAGAGGTTTGAGAAGCTCCCCTCACATAATAAATGTTGTGAGTTATATTGATTTTTAAAAATGGACAATAGATGGACAAGAGACATCTGCAAACAATAAGTGATTTAAACTGTGTAATTGAGTGGAACTTATCAAATGAAACTCAAGCGTTTGTTTATTTTGCTATCTTCTACAGACTGGATTTAAATGCACATCAAAATCCAGGCAAGTTTTTCATTTTCTGGAACATAAACTGCATATAACATTTATATATCTAGGTCCAGTAATACCTTAAAACTTTCCTAGATGCATCTGTTTGTCTGTACTCAGAGTAGATTTTGTGGTGTAAACACGGCCATATTTTTCAATTCCTTTTGATGACCCTTATCAGATCTTAAATTAAAAGGATACTTTACTTTTTTGCTTTGACTCCTTCCTGTGGGATCTAAAATAATAAGAAACACGGACATACACTTGACAATGTTGATGCCAGCAAATACCTAGGCGTAACCATCAGCAACAACTTATCTTGGGATAGACACATAGACAACATTGTAGGCAAAGGAAATAAAACATTGGGATTAATCCGACAAACTTAAAAGACTGCACTAAACCAGTAAAAGCAGCAGCATATACAGCCAATGGTAAAACCTACAGTGGAATATGCCTGCACAGTTTGGGACCCATCTGACAAGCCAAAAAAACAATAAAATTGTTAGAACAAGTACAAAAAAGAGCAGCAAAATTTGTCCAAAACAACTACACAGACCAAACACCTGGCTGTGTAACAAACATGGTAAAACAACTTCAGTGGGAAAGCCAGCAACAAAGGAAAAAATAAAACCAACAGACTATGTATGCTGTACACCTTATCGCTATTTGGAAATCTGTTCCACTTGAACTTTTGACGTCATACAACAATCACTTTTTCATTGTGGCGTCAGATATTTTCTATTATGACGTCAAAATTTTACGGGAACTTATGTGATGTCCAGTAATGGAGGACAAATAGTGATAAGGTGTATTCATTATTTAAGATCCAGCATGGGCTAATAGATATAGACAGACAACAATATCTAATCCCCAACTACAGCCGCACCAGAGGTATAGGCAGCTTTTATCAAGAAAGAGCAAAAAAAAAATGACACCTATGAATAGTCATTCTTCCCAAAGACCATGAGGGATTGGAATCAACTTCCATCTTAAGTCACCTCGGCCAACACAAATTATAGAGGGATTGAGAGATGCTCTGAAAGCAGGCTCTGAAAGGAAATAGGCAGCACATCCTGTATATAGTTTTAATTGTAAAATGGAGAATTTTTTAAATGTAAATAACTCTGGGAAGACGGAGCGTCTTTTTACTACAGAACACCACAGAATACCACAGAACACCACAGAATACCACAGAACACTCAAAATATACCACAGAACTACACAAAATACAATAAAGCTACTGAAATATACCACAGAACATTAAACTTACTTTATAAAACGCAAATCTAATAATTCAGAATTATATTATTTCTTTAATTCGGGTTACACCAATGACATGACGATTGACTGGTTGAGATATAATTTTTTAGTTTTTTGGCATATTTTTTTTACATTTGGAGACCTTTGAGACACTAAACTAATGCATTGTAATAATGAAAATCTAAAATAAACATTTAAAAAAATAGTTTTGAGCAAAAAACATTTACCACACGGTTTTCACAGTCGCTGATCAATATTTGCTTTGAATATATTGAACTGATCGATAAAAAGTGTCAATATCTCTTTTGTTTTACAATATTTTTTCGTGAAATTAAGAAATCTGCGAGTTTATTAAATATGTTGTTTACCAATAAAAACTTTATATAAATAAAACATGTTTTTCTACAAAAAAAGTTGATCTGACGGATTTTACCAGGGAATATTACGCTACGAATAATATTGATCTGATCGACAGAAAGTGCTAATTTCGCTTTTTCTTTTTAAACATTTTTTCATTAAATTAAGAAATCTGCGAGAATAATGAATATTTTATATGAAAATATAACCTTTATAGTAAAAAAAATGTTTTTCTACAAAAAAAGTTGACCTGACTGATTTTACCGGCGCGAATCACGCTATGAATAATATTGGCTTGATTGGCAGAAAGAGTTAATATTTCTCATATGTAACTATTTTTTCTGTGAAATGAATAAACCTATAAGACAATAAATATAATTTTTCAACTAAAATGATGTTGAACATCGGCTCACATTTTAATCTTGAATTTTTATTATTATAAAAATTGTATTCTTGAAATTACTTGACAATGATTAGAGAACAGGAAGACTGCTATCAACATTCTATTTAATATAATATATATCATTAATAATGGAATATTTACAATATTCTTCATTGTTTGGATTCTAGTTGCCACCTGATTTTATAATGTAATTCAATTAAATATATTTGATGTCTCAGGTGTGAAAACTTAAATGACATGTTAATTGGCTTGATTGGTCAATACGACAAGTGTCAAAATTGGCTAATCTAATTAAATTTTGGTTATTTTAAAAATTGTGTCGGTGAACTTGCTAAGGTCAACATTAATTTGGGTCTCAAAAATATAGAATCTATATGTAAATGCTACATATACAAGTTTTTTCGATATAAAGTTTCAGTTCAACGATTTCTAAATGCATACAAAATTTGGTAAAAATCCGAAATATTGTCAAATGATTAGAGAAGATACACACACAACATAAGAATCCAAAAACAGTCATCGAACTTGAACTTTTTGATAATTAAAAAGACACACTTATAATATGTTATTAGTCAACTCAAATATAACTGTCCTACAACAAGTTCAGATTTCTTTTTGAAAGTATTTGTAGCCCTTAACACAGGATTGTTTTATATATAACTCTAAAGGAGAAAACTTTGATGTACAAACATTAGTCAAGTTTAAATAATTGTTTGAAACAACTCTAGATATCAGCTTAAAAACTCCTTTAATCACTTTTATAAAGTTTAATTATTTGTTGACAACAACTTTAATTAAATGTCACATTAACCATTTTTATTATTTATTGTAACAACTCTTAACATAAAAATAATAAAATAGTGAAAAAAAACTGATAAACAAAATAAATTTAACAAATAATTACGTATTTTCAAAAATGAATTAAAAATTTCAAAAAAGATTAAAATGTATTTAAAATATAAATGTCACAAATATAAATACTCTTTGTATATTATGGTTTTAATAGCTAGGGGTTTTCAGTATGATCCCAATTATTGGCCATTTAGTTGGGGGCATAGCGATAGTGAGTCGACCCTAAATAGAAAAATTAAATTTATTTGAATAATAAATGTCAAATTATTAAAAGAATGAACAATAACATGATAATAATGTCTGAAGAATTAATATTTCGAAGTTCTGTGGTAAATTTTGGGTGTTCTGTGGTATTCTGTGGTGTTCTGTGGTATTCTGTGGTGTTCTGTGGTATTCTGTGGTGTTCTGTGGTAAAAAGACGCTCCCCTGGGAGGACTAGCTGTGTTGCCTGGCACCACAGGGGTTTTGTAACAAACCCCTGTGCTGGCACTGTGCAAAGTTTTCGCGGGACCATACACATTCATGTATAATTCGGTTCCTTACTTGGAAGAAGAAGAAACTCGGAACTTAATATTCTACCTTGTGTATAAATAAGGGAGCTGTAAAATAGCAGGCTTCAGATTTCAGGGTTTACAACTAAATTATACCTAGCCGGGCTTTCTTTCCTTTTGCATCCAGAAGCAACAATAAAGAATGGGGAATGAAACGAATCAAAAATAAACAAGTGTCAGCTTTTTTCTTAGGAGTTATTTTCCTAATGATTGTAATTTAAAGATTTGGTTGGCTTGTTTGCTTTGTTTGTTTAAATGTTTGCTCAAGTATTGTAATTAAGATCAATTAACAGATAGTAGATAGTACATGACACTTCAATGTTAGATATATCGTCAATCCAGCCCAAGTCGTTCCGTCCCAAGTCGATCCGGCCCAAGTCGATTCGGCCCCATATTTAAAGTCGATCCGTCCCCAATATAAATACAGAGTATACAAGCTAAAGCCCCGCCTATCTATTGATTGCATTTGTCAATGGTCAAAGGGAACTTACTCATACGACAAATCAAATCGAACACAAAGTTTTGTTTAAAGTTGGCATGCTACAATACAATAACATAATCTGGGAACAGTATATCTATATATATACAAAAAACAAATTTTGTTTGCATGCACACGTATAAAAATTGCGGTTTTTATCCAACGCAATCATAGGTTTGAACGTTGTTTTCAATCAAGTTAGACTTATTTATATTTTTTCGTTTGGGCTTTTATTATATTTGCCTTCGGGTTTATATGATCCGTTCATCCTATTTCGACTCTTCAAAATTCAAGAGTCTATCCTAAATTGAGGTAAATTATAGGCACTGGCTACGGTAACATGGAAAAGTAACAATAATAATAAAATTATTGTTACATTGGAGACTAATTTCCGGAATACAAGGTTGGGTAAGGATCCGATTAATTATGTAACAATAATATTTGAGTCTACGGTTGCATTGCGTTATCGTTACATATTAATTATGCACTTCAATGTAAGCTAGATTTATTAAACTTAAACCTTATAGTTTTGATGCTGAATTTTTTTTCGCCAATAAGAACGAAGTTGCGATCACATAATATCTGGACTCAGAAAATGAAAGCACTGATTCCACCAGTTTCATCATGTCGGCAAATGTTACTGAATTGCCTTCACAATATAACATAAACATCGCAAGATTAAAAAAATATTTTTTCATATAAATCATGACAGACATTGAAAGTTTCCTTTAACTTCAAAAAGAGATAGTGCAAAATGTAATTGTACAGTATGCAATACAGACGTGCACATTGCTGCATCACTTGTTTGTGATGGCTGCTTAGTGGTTTCACTAAAATGCGTGGGACTAAATCATGCTTCCATAAACAACATACGGGATTTGTAGAATTGACATTGTAAATAAAAAAAATAAAAATTGTATGCAACATTGCAAAATTCAAATAAAAGTTTTCAAGTTTTTGCATCAATGTAACCGTAGACTCAATTATTATTGTTACACTCGTAATTAATCGGTTCCTTACAAGTTACCCAACACTGCATTCCGGCAATTAGTCTCCAATGTAACAATAATTATTCTATTATTGTTATATTTCCATGTAACCGTAGCCAGTGCCTAAATTATATGGCCTTCCAAATACCGTTTCGATTCCTAACATCACTGAAGAGACATTAATTGTCGAAATCCGATATGCGGTGTACAATTTTTTGCACCTCATGCATGTTTGCGGTATACCATCTTTTCCGCAAGTTGATTGTTTTCTGTTTGGTATTAAATTAATAATAAAGATCCATTTTGTTACATCTTGTGATCCGTTTATTTGGCAATCGCCAATGGCAGTCAGCAGGGTTTAAGCACATCCGTTGTTCGACCTGTTAGTCAAACCCGTTTTGTTTAAATATACTTTTTCACTTTTTTGGTCTTTTGGAAAATGTTGTTTGTGCTGTATTTAGACCCCTCTACCAAGATTTTTTTTAGCATGCACACGTAAAAAAAATTGCAGGATTTCGATATTTGTTTTCATTGTTGCATTGAATCATAGATATAATAGCCATTATATCTATGATTGAATATTCAATTTTCTATTTTAATACCACTTAACACTACCAGAGACATATAATACATTTTTACATCGGACGACCGTGAGGCCGGCATTCCGGTGTATTGCTGTCGCCTAGATTTCCATTACGTAACTTTCGTGTTGGGATTGTAATGGATCTATAAACATGATAAATACGAGGACATTATCGAGTGCAAAATAACATTTCTTATCGCTTGTTATAAATTCATTTTTTCAATGGATACTCCTAAAAATATTTTTTTTATAACATAAGTTAATAATATGAAAATGTTTTGGCGTCGCATAATGACAGAATAAAAAGAAAATGCTGTGTGATATTTTTGGTTTTACTTTGTTAACAGGGATGAAATATTCCAATATTCCAAATTAAAACATAAATGACTTGAAAGGATTGATTTGTACAAGGAATTGTATATTTTCCATTCCTTTTAAGTATACAATTGAATTTCCCTGATTTGTATTAAAATAAACATATTAGTAATATATGTATAAGTAAAAAATCTTCAATATATATGCACACGTACAGAAAATGTGTGTTAACGCATGCGGAAGAATACCTCAAGAACGTTTGCAATCTCCCATGCAGAGCTCTCTCTCAAGGACCGATAACTCTGCATGGGAGATTGAAAGTTTGGCAGGAAAATATGAATGCCTACGCAAATCCAATCTATTAGAAAAAACGAATCATTACAGAAGAGTGTCCACCATGCACTTGCACTGCACTATTATTAGAATAGTAGAATAGAATGATATACAAATGGATGAAAATTATATATACATATGTAACTGTAATATACAAATATTAATATAATATATAACAACAAACCAGAGTATACTGATTTGTATCACTTCAATATCATATTTATTACGGTGAGGTTGAATTCCCTGTCATTTTTTTATCATCCACGCACGAACTTGTCCAAGAAAAAAAATTATATCTGTACATTAACCTCACTTTCAGGTATAGAGATGTGATTTTTTTTCTGAGACAAGTGCTTGTGACCATCCACAAAAACTTGCAGTCATCCGATGTTCAGTACTTCAGTACTTTGATATTATATACTTAGAAGCAAATACAGGTAAATTGTATGTGTAATACAATTGATGACAATCGTGCTGTATCAGCCATCCGTGATGATATCGATATCAGTCACGGTTGCAAAGGATTTATCAAACCCCTAATCTGTATGCATGACGGACCGCGTAATCGATATCAATCACGGTTACAAAATCATAATATGTATTACGTCATGTCTCGTGAAAAATACACAAGAGAGATTAGCTGTTCTTGAGGTACATCTATATAATAAAGTGTATATATGGCTTTTTCAATATCACACACCGTATCAACCCCCAACCAATATAATCCCTCGAGCAGAGCTCTAGGGATAATATTGGTGTTTCGGGTTGATACAGGTGTAATATTGAAAAAAGCCATATGATATTCTCTATATGTCTCTGACAAAATAGTGATAGAAGAAGAATACGAAGAATATGTTTATTTTAATACAAATCAGGGAATTGTATATTTAAAAGGAATGGAAAATATACAATTCCTTGCAAAAATCAATCCTTTCAAGTCATTTATGTTTTAATTTGGAATATTTCATCCCTCTTGACAAAGTAAAACGAAAAATATCACACAGCATTTTCTTTTTATTCTGTCATTATGCTGATCAACACAGATTTATTGCATAAATGATTTCGTGATTTTTTGTATTTTTTAAATTTTAATAACAAAAAATATATACTTCGAAATTGTTTCGTTATAAATGTGTTTAATTGCGATTCGGATCAATCAATATCCGTGTACTTTAAAATATCTACAACCAAGCAGGATATAAGCTTTTGCTTAGGATTAGGAATGTAATTTACAAGTGAGAGTCTACAAAAAAGACAACTCGGACCGTCAATAAGTCAACTCGGACCGTCTATAAAGTCAACTCGGACCGTCTATAATGCCAACTCGGACCGTCTATAATGCCAACTCAGAATAAGTACATAATTAGAGTTTTGACGAAATAAATGATTTAATGAAAAAGACTGTGTCTGAAGAGAAGTCTCTAATAAATCTTTGATGCCGATTTTGAGTATACAAATTACGAAAAAGACAACTCGGATCGTCTATGAAGATACGTCTATATAGATAATTGAATGACGCTCCCTTGATTTTGTTTATTTATGTTGTTTGAAAGCTGAATGAGTAAAATATAGAATCACCATGATGAAGTAGAAATAAGAATCTACATTAGTCGTTTGTTGCTGTATATCTTTTTTTGTTCGTTTATTGTTTTATACATAAACAAGGTCGTTAGTTTTCTCGTTTGAATTGTTTTACATTTGTATTTTCGTTGCTTTTTTCAAGCTTACTATGCGGTATGGATTTTGCTCATTGCTGAAGGCCGTACGATGACCTATAATAGATGATAACATCTATGTCATTTGGTCTCTGCTGGAGAGTTGTCTGAATAGCAATCATAGATACCACATCTTCTTATTTTTATATTAAATCTAAATCTTCAATATCAAACCTCACAAAACCTGATGGGAACTTAACTATTTCTGTTAAGGAAAAAGCTACAGTATTAAATGACTTTTTCACTAGTGTATTTACTGCTGAAAATCCCAATAATGTACCTGATATTACAGAAATTTAGAATCGCCATTAGAATATTTTAATTATGGTAGAGCAATGCTCAGTTTAAAAATATCTTCTTTTATTAAATGGAAGTAAGTCTATGGGGCCGAATAATATTCATCCTTTGATTGTGAAGATTATGACAAAAAAGTTTTTCAAACGTGAAACCTTTGACTTTGACACTTCAAAAGTCCACTGACACTGTATGGTAATAGTCCCAAAGAATGGAAAGATGCTAGAGTAACTCCACCTTTTAAACACCAAAGTTGCTGGAAACTACAGGCGAGTCAGCCGTTTAACTTCAATTGTATGCAAACTTTAGAAAAGATTAGTCGTAAGCAAAATAATTGTCATTAATAACTTAATTTCGAGGAGTTTAATATCTAATTCGACATTCGTTATGAAAGATCATGTATTTTAGAGGGATGTAATGGGGGTACC